TATATTTTTTATATTATTAAATTTACTTAAAAATTATTATTATAAAAATACTTTTTTTTTCTAACCTTTGCCCGGTAACTAATAATATTACTTAAAGTATTTAACATAACTATAGTTTAAGTATTTCCCTGGGTATAGCTTTTTTATAAATAAAAAATTATTTAAATTATTAGGTTATTTTATACTAGTATTTACTTTTATACTTTTTTTAGTAGTAAAAAGCGCCCTAACTTTAGTTGCTAATAGTTTTATATAAGTTTAATTAAAAAACTTTTTTTTTTTTTATAATAGTTTTTTTTTGCTTGGGCATATTATTTTTAATACTTATTAAATATAATATATAATTATTATAGCACTTTAGTTCTTAATATTTATAAATAAAAAACTTTTTTTATATATTTTTTAAGATCTTTTAGTACAGGTGTTTTTGGCGCTAATTATTATTATATTTATAAGGTAAGTATTTTTTAATTTAGTTTAGTAACTATGTAAATTACCTAATAATTTATTATAGTTATTACTTTATATTATCTTACTTAATTAGCAAGTTATTAACTAGCACTATTTTATTATTAATTATTTTAATTAATATATTAAGAAATTTTTTCTAGGTAAATATAATTTTTACTTTATAAATATTAAATTATTCCTGCCTGTGGTTCTTTGCTAAAAATTTAATAAATTAAAATATTTTATAATTATTATTTAGGTAGTAGGTTAGGAAGGTTTTAAAGTATATTTTTATATTTAACTTTTAATTATTAAATTTTTTAATATTATTTGCCCGGTATGGTTTTATAAATAATAACTTTTTTAAAAAGTTTTTTTTAAATTATATTATTATTACTATAACCCCTTTAATAGTCTTTTTTAAAATTATAAGGTTATTAAAGTTTATTTAGCAGGGAATTATTAGTTACTTAATAAATTAAATAAATATATTATATATTTATTAGTTAGCTTTAGCCCTTGTAATTTATTAGCGTGCCTTTTTAATTTAGGCATAAATTTATTAATATTTTTTTTTTTATAGCGTTCTTATTCCTGTAATTTCTTTTTTTTTATTAAAATTACTTTTAGTATTACCTATAGCTTTTTAATAATTTTTTTACTATTTTTATTTTTTTACCCCTGGGCGGGCCCTTTATATTTTAATATTTTTTATATAATTTAAGATTTAATAGCAGGGGCGCCCTTGGGATTTTTTAGTTAAAAATTTATAAATTTTTTTTTAGGTATATTAGTTAATTATTAAGTTAGGGTTTATAATTACTTTTTTAAAGTATTATTTACTAGTCCCTGGAATTAAGTTTATTACCTAGCTATTATATAAAATAAGTTTTTTTTTAAAAAAAAAAGTAATTAAAACTATAAGTTATGTTTATATACTATAATAAGCTTAAAAAAATATAAATTATTATAATAAAAAAGATGTTATATATTTATAATAAAAATTAATTACTAATTTTTTTAAGTTAAAGTTTAAAGTTAAACTTAATATTTTATATATTATATAACTGGCCGCTGCTTTAACACGTGGCTAGTTTAGCGCCGAAGTTCCTCCGCCCGGCGGCCTCAGGCCGCCGGATTGCGTTATTACAACACTGCGCAGTTGCAATACCATAACGGTAATAACAAGGATTAAGGCAAGAACTTATTTTTTTATTATTTTTTAAAAATATTATTATTTTTATAAGCTTTTATAATAAGAAAAAGTACCCTAGCTATAAGTAATAATTATATAATTTATAAATAGCCTGCCTAACATGCTTTTAATAAGCCTTTAAAATATAAATAATTACTTAGTCTGCTTTAGGAGAAATACTACTTATATTAATAATATTTTTTTTTTAACTTTTTTTAATAAAATTTTTTTTAATTAATAAAAGTACTTATTTTTTTACTAGTGCTTTAGTACTAGGAAATTAAAGTTTAAATTATTATTTATACTAAAATACTTTAATATTATTTTTTAAAAAATATTAGCCTTTTCCCGCGTGTTTTTAATTATTTTATTATTTATTAATAATAGGGGTACCTTAAGCCTAGGCTTTAGCTTATACTATATTATTATTTAATATAATTTTTAATTATTTTTAATATTATTAATTATTTTAGTTTAATATATATATTTAGTCTTGTAAATTATAACTAAAAACTACTTTTTTTATTTTAGGGTAGGGTTTACCACCTAGGCATAATAGTTTTTTATATATTTATTTAATTACTAAGAAATATTATAACTTTTTAAATTAAAGTATTTATTTATAGCCTGCATAGCCTTTATAATAATATTATTAAAAAAATATAATATATTAATTTAATACTTTCACGCCCTTAAGCTCCCCGGGTTAGGGTAGGAATATTATTTTATTTTTAATAAGTTTAATTAAATACTTTAATTTATAGTTTAGTATACTATAATAATATTATTTTAATATTTTTTTCCCGCGCCCTGGTACTATAATAACTAAAGTTTAATAATTAAAGTTATTATATAACTTAAGTATTACTAGCATGCAGGTAAAAAAATATTTAAAAAAGTTAGGTTTAAAATATAGCTAGCTTTATATATAATTATACTTAATTTATTAATATAATTAATATTATTATTACTAGCTTACCTAGTAATTTTATTACTATAATATAGGTTATTTACCTTAGGCTTAAAAATATTATAAGTAATATTAAGATTTTTTTTAATTATATAGTTTAGGGTAAGGACTAGTATAATTAAATAATTAATTATTTTATAAATAATTAATTTTTAATATATATTTAAACCCTTAATATTATTTATTATAAGCTAAAATATGTTTTAGCTTTATACTAGGTAATATTATTTAACATGTAGTACTCCCCCTTTATAAATATAAGTAAGTATTTTAAGGCACTTTTTAAGCTAGTTCTTATAATTATTTTAGGTATTTACTAGTATATAATACTTATATACTAAATAATTTTAAGTTTTTATATTTATGGTTATTTAAGGCTTTTAAATATAAGTAATATTATAACCTTATTTATAAGCTAGTTATAAAATTATAATATAACTAGGTATAAATTTATTTATATTTACTTAATAAATAATAAAATCTTATTATTATTAAGTATTATTATAATAATAGTTATTATAATGCCTTTTTTAATACTTTATTATTAAAGCTTAAAAAAGGTTTTAATATTAATTTTTATTATATAGGGCAAGGGAGGCGTGCCCGTGTTAACTAGGGTAAGTTAAATTAATTTAATAAAAAATTATTTAAAATTTTAATTATTAATAAAAGTATTAAACCATAGGGTATAATAATTAATAATTAATATAAAGCCTTACTTATTTACCTTTAATTTTTTTATAGCATGCTTTTAAGGGTTTTTTTAAAATAAAAATTATTTAATTTTAGCCTAAAGCTAGATATTTATATTAACTTAGGTATATATATTTTAATATTAATAAGTACTATAATAGTATATATTATTAAGCTTTTTTTTAAATAAATAAATTAAAGTTTTATTTTTATACCTAAAAATTACTAGGTAGTTATTATATTTTACTAGCTATAGGCCTAGGTAATTTATATAATATATAAGGTTTTTATAATTTAGGTTAATAAAACCTAGGTAATTTATAATTATTATATTATATTATATATAATATATTACTTAATTATAACATGCTAGGTAATAATATTTTTAGTAGCTAGGGTTATATTAAAAAACTAGCTAGTACTTTTTAATAAGCTAGTAATACTTACTTTAATTAAATAATATAAAGGTTTTAGGCTACTTTAAAAAAAATATTACCTAAGTAATATACCTAGTATTAAAATTAGGGCTATATTTTAAAAAAGTAAGCTTAATTAACTTTAATTTAATTTAAGCTATAATTTTATTTTAAATTAGCTTAATAAAATTTATTTTATTATTATTATATATTAAAATAGTGCTAGGCACTTTTTATACCATATAATTATATTACTTTTAAAAAATATATATATTAATAACGCTTAGGGTATAGTAAATAATATTAGTTATTTTATTAATTATTAAAAGGTTTTTAATAAAAAAATTATTAAAAATAATAGCCTAGCTTATATAAATAGTATTAATTTTAAAAATAATTATTATTATAATTAATTTTAATATATACTTAATAAGGGCTTATTAAATAATATATATTTTTAAGCATGCTATTAACTTATTATTAAAAAGGGTAATTAGCACCCTATAATTATTTTATATAATTAAGGTTATAATAAAGCTACTACACGTTAATTAAATTATTAATATATTTAATAAAAGTACCTTGCCTAAGGTAGCATTAGTTAAAGTAAAAAAACTTATTTTAAAAAGGGTGGGTTAAGCCCTTAAGTTTTTAAGAATTAAACTTATTTTTTTTTAAATAATAATTTTACTAAAGGTTATTATAATAATAAGCTAACTAGATATATATAAAAAAAATATAATTAATATTATTAATATTAGGATAACTTTTTAAAAAAATAAAGCATATAAACTTATTATAAATATTATAAATAAAAGCTTTTTAATTTTAAGTTTTTTACCTAGCTATAAAGCTATTAATAATAATTATAAAATTTATAAAAATTTTATACTTAATATATACCTAGTATTTTTATTTTTTAAATTAATTATAAAAGGCTTTTATAACTAAGCTAGGCTAAAAAATTAATATACTATTACTTTTAATAATAAAAAAAAAAATAAGCTTGCTAGGGCCCTTTTTTTATTTTTTTATAATATAAAGATTAAAAAAATAAGAAATTTTATAGCTATATAAGGTTAGCTAAGTTAATACTTATAAATTAATTAAAAATATATACCTTAATTTTAGCTATTATACCGCGGGGAGTAGTAAAAAGGGGAAAAAAAAGTTAAAAATAAAATTAAAATAATAAAAATATATATTTATAAGACTTTTAAAGCGTCCGGAGCCCTTATTTAAAGGTACCCCTGGATTGCTAACAGTTATAAAGGTGATGGACGTGGTTAAGGCCACGCATGCGGATCTGAATCCCGTCCTGGATCTTGCTGATATCGTCGGTCCAGCCGTGGGTGCCGGTGATGGCCAGGAACGGGACCCCGATCTCATTCGCGACTTTGATCTGTGGGGGTTAGACTTTGGTCAATGTCTTTTGTCTAGCTCGTCACACACCGTATTCACGACATCGTCTTCAGCAGCTACGTCGACAACGGCGAGATAGCCTGGGTTGACACGGGGGGCAGCAGCACGACGCGTAACATCAGCCCATCTTTCGGAGTCGGGAAAGACAATTGCCGCGTTCTCGGAGAGCTGAGGCGTGAGGAGCTCCTTGATTTGTGCCAACTTCGCCTCGGCGGTGCCGTTGGATGGCACTGCGGCCTAGACGGCGAAGCCGAAGAGGGCAGTTGCCAGGATGCTGAAGAACATCTTTGAATGGCTGTGGCTGGTGGTGCTTCTGTCAGTATGCCAGAGAGCTGCTGGAGAGGAAAGAGGGCGGCTTGTCTGGGAGAGGAGAAGGGCAAGATGAGTCCACCTTTATAGATTTCCGAGATCGTTCTCAGACCCTATAAACCTACTACCTTCTACGTTCAGCTCCTGGTGGCATGGCCCCCAAACCTCTCGGTCCAATCCAATGAAGCCCTTACGCCCCTATGTCGCCAATACGACAGTCCCGCCATCGTTCGCGACGACTCCTACATCGCTTCGACTTTCCATTTCTTCGTGGACTATACTTCATCCAGCATCGTCGGCAACCCTAAACGGAGCTTGGAGTGCTTACATACTGCGTATTGACCTACTTGCGATGCAGAATGTGGACCCCTTGTCTGCGAAAATGGCATGCTGAGAGATTTGCATCCCTCTGGTAGAGTCATTCCACTGCGCCTTTCCCCGGCTAGGGCACCTATATTGCCATGAGTTGGTGCGGCTGAGGACGTTGACCTAGAGCTACACAGCGGTGAATATCTACGCTGGATTGACTTGTTCGCGCTTGGGCTATTAATGGCACTAACTCTATCTGACCTATTCATGGCTATAGTGGTGGGTGGTTCAGCAATGGAACGCCTTCACGAACTCTATTCCGCTACTGCGCGCTACCAATAACCTATGGATCAAACGCGCCTAGCTCGTAGACTATCTTGTAAGCAGAGATCTTTCCGTCCCTGTATTCCTGAAATCCATCCGAAACCGCATCTAACCCGGGAAGCACCTTTGGCGTATTGGGCTTCAGATCGCCCGTCCCCAGCCAGGCGGGGATTTTCTGAAATAGCTCGGCAGCGAGTTCATGGTCGTGCTTAGATGCCTGCAGAATAATGTAAGCTCAATGCCAAGTATGGATGGCCCAGTAGACACATACAGGCCATTTAAATTCTCCATAGGCGTGGTCCTTCAAGAACGCCGTCCACACCAACACGTCTGTGACCCGGGTGCCGTGGAGGACATCGTCGGTGTTTGCCTTGCCCGGGCGCACGGTACAGATCGTTCCTGGGCCTGAAGAGAATGAGTAGGAGGCAGGAGCTGATGAGCCCTTGCTTCCAATAGTGTCAAAGGCATGCGAAAGACTAGGTGCGGCAGACTTGATCTTCTCCACAACCTTTTCATCCTTATAGTCGAAAACATGCTTGGCACCATGTGAACGGACAAGATCAGCGTGCTTGGGACTGCAGGTGGTGACCACCTCAAAGCCAAAGTAAGATGCTAGTTGGATGGCATATAGGCCAACGCTCGCTGCAAGAAGTTAGATCGGATATGTAAACAGCGGGCAGAACATACAGCTACCACCCCAAACAAGAACACTGCTGCCCTTGCCCTGGGAACGGTCAAGAGCAAGACAGTCCTCCGAGAACAAAGCTAACCACGCGGTGGCCGCCGCCAGAGGGATAGTCGCGGCCTGCGCGCGAGTAATGCCTCCAGGCACCTTGAAGTAGATGCGCTCGTCTGCAAGACAATACTGGCTATAGGCGCCGAGACCCTTGACTTCGCCACCCCAAACGAGTCCCGCGACGACATCGCCCTTGGCAAGTCGGGTAACGCCGCTTCCAAGGTCAATGACCTCTCCAACAAAGTCGCACCCAAGAACGGCTCCGTCTCCAAAGGCGTTGCCGTCAAAGGATTGCACTGGGGTACGATTCAGATTTAGCGGGCCAGTAAATATGGGTAGGTCTGGAACATACCGTCTGTTGGATTCTGGGCGACATGGGAAAGTTTCACGACGACCTGGTTGGGGCTGGGGCGAGGCCTTGGGATGTCTTCTTTGGAGAGGCGCGGAGACCCGTCGACGCGGACGACAAGCGCGGTGTTCCGGTCTGTGGACATTGTTCTATAGGTAAATCGAAGAGGGCGGAGGTGGTTGATCGATCGTGGTAGATGAAAGGAGTGCCATTTGGGGGGTTTTGTAGGCAGTTGGCATGTTGACGTCGTTGACGTAGGTAGATGGAGGGGGCTGCCTTGGCTTTGGAAGCGTCGGAGACTTCCCTGCGTCCAGTCAGATGGTCAGTTTACCCCCCTTACATACATTCTTCAGCTGAAACGGCCACCTTCCAGTCTCCCGTGCAGGGACCGTCGTCGAAAATGTACGTCCTGCCCTGATGATTCATCCCAATGCTGACTTCGCAGGCGATGGGGCCCGTCCCCGATGTCGCAATTGCCATGTTAGGGGCTCTACCTGCCAATGGGGGCTCCGGGCCTCCTTCCACCCCTCCCGCAGTCACGGCCTATCCACCTACGACTCCATAGCCCTGGCTACGATTGAGCGGCAGCGCGGTCGGCCTGGGCTTAGGAACTCACGGCTTGGAACGGTGTGTCTTTCGGGTTGGGATTGTTCTCGTCTGGTTCCTGGCGGACCAACAGCGCAGATTGTAGATGAGACTGACGACGTCATCTGCAACTACACAGTCATTGATGATGCCGACGCCTTCTCCTTGCATTCAGACTCACCAGACCGTGAACAAGGCACATGGGACTACCTGCAAGTAGGGTCTGTGGTCGACAGCGCCGCGACTACGGTTTGGCCGCTGGATCCTCCAGAGGTGCGCACTACGCCCACACTACTGGCTAGCCCTGATATAGCCGATCAGTTCCATGTTTTCGGCATTCGGTGTTGTTTTATGGAGTCCAGCATTCGGGGCAGACTGGTTTCGAATCGGCGAATCGGCGGCTGTTGGAGAGGATCTTCAAACTGCTTGTTACTTGTCCACTTCTAGGTAAATCTTTCGCGGGTGCCTCCTGCCGGGCAGGGCCCCTGCATTGTAGCAATAGCCCTAACTCAGGATCGGGCTCCATGGCGGCGCAGGGTTGCGCTTGCACCTGCCCTTGCGCCACACCCCCGAGTTCCTTTCTGGGCCCACCGGGCCACCATGAACCCTACGCTACACCACAAATTATCATTATGGATGAGCAGATTACCTCACTTACCTACCGGGCTTACCCTCTCTTAAAGCAGCAACGTCCGGATCAGACAGAGAGGAGGGCTTCCAACTCAAGGTTCATCGCGAGATTCAGGAGAGTAACCCTTATCCACCCACCCAGGTACCGTACAGGCACATCAAGGCACGGAGCGCGAGACTTGTGCTCCCTCGACGGTCATTCTGAGGGATGGAGTTACGGAAACACACGGGTATCCACTACATCGTCCAGGATCAGTACACCTTGCGGCTTGCACCGCGTGGATGTCCAGGCTCGGTAGCTGTGAAACAGGACCAGAGTATGAGGTCTTGGGTGTGGGCAAACCGATACGCCGTACTTGGCCGCGATAGGCTGGATGCGCAGGGGGGATGCAAGGAAGGTATAGGTATGGTTACACGTAGGAAGGCTGGGCCCGCGAGATACATTTGCGGAGGAGAAAAAGGTACCAGGACATCGACGAGAAAAGAACAGAACAGTTAGTTGTCTAAACTGGATAAATTGTCATACGAACAGACTCGAATGCGGTCGAGGCCATGCACCGACCCAGCTCGAGGCCGATAAAAGAGAACAAAATGACTTATGGTTGTCTATGAATGATCGAATGCGTCTAAATGCCAAAGAACCCAGCCGTGGACTTCTAATGGTAGTACATAGTCACGTAAGGGCCGGTTTTCGTGCTGTAGCTGAACGACAGCCAGGAGAAGACGTTGGAGCTCTCTTCGAGCGAGACATCAGGCCTTCGGGGTCGTAGTTAGCACATCTGCGCAGAGCAATGGCATAACTGAGGGAGCCAGGGTATCATGGCACTTACTTATAAGATTGCACATTCCGAATATAAGAATCCGCATGCTCCTCCCACCCCCAGCTGCGAAACACACCCTCCACAGCCCTCGCAACAGCAAGACTATTCTGCCCGGGAAGCGCAAAGTACATCTTCGGCTGCGGCCAGACCCCACCGGGCTTGATCTCCAGGTTCACGACGATGGGCAGCTCATCCGGCGGAAGGGTCGGGCTGGGCCGATTCAGGTCGGGCGGGGGGCGCAGTCCGGTCTGGATATCCAGCGCATCCCAGATGCCCTTGAGGATGGCGAGGCCGTGCGTCGTCTCGTCGCCCTGGATCTTCCCGCCCAGCGTCCAGATATCGACGATGCGGTCGAAGTTGACGTCGAACTCGGAGACGTAGATCTTGAAGCGGGTTTTCGTGGGCGCCACCAGGTCGCACGAGAGCATGTCGGCGTGCAGACTTGGTGGTGCATTGGCGATGTACGACTCGACGTTCGCCAGGCCCTGCGTGAAGATCCCGCCGACGGTGCTGTCGACGGCGCGCACGGCGTCGCGGAGGAGCGTCCACATTGGTGTTCCTGTTGCGAGGGACTTGAGCGCCGGGACGAGGTACAGCTTCGCGGCGATGTCCCCGCCCTTCATGTCCAGCGCTACCATTGTCTGTGTTTTAACGGCTTGATCGGCGACCGCGTCGCGGTTGACTAGGGCTTGTTCGTCGGCGTCTGTGAGGGTGAGTTTGCACAGGAGCTCGTGGTAGAGGGTTAGGTCGACGGCGGGGGAGATGCGCTTCAGGCGGCGGAGCGACTCGTCGACCATGCCGCGATTGCAGAGGTCGTCGCCCGTGCTCGCGGCGTAGCTAGTCGGCTCGAAGGTGAGACGGACGGTGGCGCCGGCCTTGGTGAAGTTCTGGCTGAACTCCATGGAGCCCAGGCCGCCGAGGGCGCACTTGTAGAGGCCCGGGCGGGACTTGGGGAAGGGGCCGAGGAAGGGGATGATGTGGGCGGCCCAGAGGTTGAGGTAGTGGAACTGGTGGTGGATGTCGTAGTCTGCGTCGGACAGCATCTTGGAGAGCATGGGGCCGGTGGCCTCCCACCATTCTTTCTCCTCGAGGTTCGGGAAGAGGAGGGTCTTGCTTAGGGTTTCGTAGGTCCGGGGGACGGGGGCGGGCTTGGAGCCGTTCATCTTGGCCTGGTAGACTGCGGATGGCATGCTTGCGGGTTTGGAGGCCTTGAAGTAGTGGAGGAAGGTGCTTAGGGCTGAGGAGAGGCGGCGGAGGGCGGCTTTTATCATGGTCAAGCTCGGTTCGCGCATGCTGGGTCGTATACTCGAACCCTAATGCGAGTCGTTGTTGCGGGCGGGCTGAGGCCACGAGGATATAGATGGCTATCGGCGCTACGACGCCCTTGGATGGCCTTGGCCGTTACTCTGGTCCCCTCGTCCGGCTTCGATCGCAATCTGGCCGGGTTGATCCCTGCAGGAGTTCGGCGTGGCTATTCGGTGGCCAACACGTTGAATACAGCACACCCAATCAACCAGCTGACGAACTTGGCGGCCAGCGCTCTCAGCCGCAACGCCAAATGACAAGAATCGGAATACGAGAAGGGGCGCCAGCCCGCAATCAGGTGTGCATGCTGATTGGGTGGACAGGCAGATAAGCGGCCCCCATGGTGCATTTCCCCGATACAATCAAGGAGAGATCCGAGCGCTCGCTCTATTTTGCGACATGCCAAGCGGAGATTCTGTCTTCGTCAGCAAGGCTGCATGGAATTGTCTTGCCAATGGAATGCCATATGCTATGTCCAATTTCATCAGTGCTCGCGTACCCCGGTCCCATCTTGGCCACGCTGCACAGCCCCACCTCAGCTTGCCTCCAGGCTGTGCCTGCTTTGGGAGGATCGTGGGATTGATGCCGTGCTCGTAGTATCTTGAGGGCATGCCTGGGTGACGGAGTATAAGAGAAGACATCTATTCAAATAACGGACATCCTAGTCGGCGTATGCATTCAAAGCAAGGCTTCCAAGTACAAGCTGAAGTATATCATGGCTTATTCTCCGCACGCGGCACGTTTCATCCCCTATACCCCGATCAGCGAGAATACTCCTAGGGTTCAAGGTTGTCCCATGTTACATCAATGCAGGGTTGCCGCTGACGGGTTCAGCTCAGGCCCGTCCACGAGGCTTTGCATGGGATATCCTTGACAAGTTTTATCCCGTCAGCTTCCTCAGTCTGACTTATCTTCTCTCCTAAGTTTGAGACTCAGATATGCATAGATATTGCGCGTATTGACCAATCGGCGAGTTCCTCAAACACGGGTGACGCAATTCGAACGTCTGGGCATTTCCTATAAGCCCGGGCGAGTTAAAGTTTGTACTCTGGCGAGAGCTAAAACACATCGTGCATATCGCATGGATGCGCTGCGTTACATCGAACTTATCAATCAACCGCTGATCGGCCAGATACCTGACTAATGGTTAGAACACCAGGTGTGGTTCTTGGATGTACCTGGACCACAGGGTGCAGTGAGCTTGGCCCTGGTTGAGACTTGAGTACCCATCACCCATAGGGCATATGTACAGACTGATGCGGTACGACAATCCCACACTACCGAGGCATTCTTGAACGGACAGTAATTCTAGACGGCAAGATCCCATCAACATAAAAAGCAAATATGCTAGATGGCCATCAGCAAACATTACGGTATACGTAGCTCTACCATACGCGATCCTCACACGACGAAACCCCATATTTATTTATATCCTTCGACCAAGATCCCAACCGTGAGATCAGCGCTATATCGACCCATTGGACTCCGTATTCTAATCTAAGCCCAAGATCCAGCTTCAAGCCGCAGCCGCATCAACAGCTCTTACATCAGCACAGTCCAGCCGTGTACGTGATATGTGCGCGGCGAATGAAGATAAGGAACGTACGCCGGTCCCTGTGGCGCACCTGATACTCCGCATGAGTGGCCTCCCACCACCCATGGCATGGCCCTCCAGGAGCGCCGGGCGGTTTCAGAAACGGTACGGCTGAATGCAGGGGAACTAGAAATTGAGGTTGCAGTTGTAGCAAACCATCGTGCTGCATACGCAGCCAATCGAAGCACAACCCGAGCTTTGACACATATGGCTCGCTGCTCGATGGTTAGGGCACGCGCGCAACGATTCAAGATGCCCGGGCCCTTCTGGTATCAGTGACCAACTTCTCATCGTCCCGGGTCAGTCAAACCAATTGCTCTTGGTTCCTCTACGATGTATACAACCACTTTCTGACGAAGCAACGTCCGGCTCGCAACGTCGCCCTTGCCTCACAACGTCTGGACCCCATCATAGACCTATGATGACACATTGCGCCGTCTGACTCTACCGTAATCGAAGGCGTCGGTGTCGGCGCCCGGAAGCGTCCCGCTGAGGCGCTCGGGAGGCAATGGGAGGCGGTGGTGGCTTTCATCCTGAATTCTCTATATTGATGGTTCGAATTGAACAGGACACATAGGTAGGGTATCTCATGAGTTGCCCAGCGCGCAACTTTATTGTCTATAGTTCTCACGGTACAGGTGGGGTGAACAAACAAAACGCAGTGTATGAACCAAGCCTACCATATGACCTTGACAGCCAGTGTTAGCACTGAGAAACCCAAGAAATACTAACCCTTATATGTACAGTCAGCATTGTACGTACACCTGAGTGTGCTTCGCCAGTCAGGATGCAGTAACAGAAATGCACACTGCCTACAAATAGGCACAAACTTCTCACATAACTATGGACTCCGTTGATTGCATGCTCCCAGTTATGCTGCTGGTGTTTTTAAGCCACGCAGGGACTTCCTCCGCACAAGATCCCCCCTGTCTGATCTCATGGGACGGGGATGGGCGGTATTTCGTGGATCGGAAATGTGGACACTCGGCTCAATATGGAGATGCCCAGATCTTCCCCGCACAGTGTGAATGGTGGCATATTCTGCATAGAAGCTAAGAAAGCCCTTGTATATTCCTCTGCATCGGAGTCAGTTCTTTCCCCAGCTCCGCCTACCATACCGTACCCACGGCCGCCGTCATGGACAAACTCTGGGTATACCTCGCCATCGCAACGGCGCTCTGGCTTGCGCTGGTATACACAACCCGACACTCCATGATCCTCCGCAAGCTAATCCAGACTAACAATATGACTCTCATAGAAAACGTACAGAACCCTCACCTCCCCACTGAAATCCATCCCGGGCCCCCTGTATACACTGTTCACGCGCCTCCCCCTCAAACTGTCCATAATCACCGGCCAACGAATCCACTTCATCGACAACTTACACAAGGATTACGGGCGCATCGTGCGCATCAGCCCGTCCGAGATCTCCATCTCCTCGCTCGCGGACTTCAAAGAGATCCACCGCGTCGGCACGCCGTTCCTCAAGAGCACATGGTATCAGGAGTTCGTGATGGGGCAGGCTGAGCCTGGGATCTTTGCTGTGAGGGATGTCAAACAGCACGCTGCGAGGAGAAAGTTGTTTGCGAGGGCGTTTTCGAAGAGTGAGCTTAGACGTGTTTGGGAGGGGGTTGTGCGGGAGAAGGTTCGTCTGGCAGTCGCCCGGATGAAGGGGGAGTTGGAGGGTCCAACTGGAGATGGAAAGTGCGATGTGCTGAAATGGTGGACGTTCCTTGCGACCGATGTAGCCGGGCATCTGATGTTTGGGGAGGATTTCGGGATGCTGGAGGGTGGGGTGGTACGTCCTTCCAATCCATCCTCTTTCTCAGTGCATTGGTGATCGGACCCTGACTCTGAGCAGAAGAACGAATACATCCACATCCTCGAGTCCACGATGAAAGGATCTGGCATCAACGCGGAACTCCCGCTCGTCGGGTTCATCGGGCGGCATTTGCCCATCGCAAGCATCAGGTGCATGTTCCGGGCGAACGACTATCTGACTGAGTACGGTCGGAAAGCAGTGACGAACGCCCGGTCGAACAGCGCATCGAGCCGGAACATCTTCTCGGGTATGCTCTATGAAGCTGAGAAGGGCAGTAGTGGCGAGGGTGGGTTAAGCGAGCTTGACGTTGTCTCTGAAGCCGGCAATCTGATTGTCGCGGGTTCAGACACGACGGCCGTGACGCTGACGTATCTAGTCTGGGCTGTGTTAAGCAGGCCGCAATTGCAGCGTGATCTTGAGAACGAACTTCTCGGGCTGGGAGAGTCGTACGACGACGCAAAACTGGAGACCCTCCCGCTGCTCAACGCCGTCATCAAGGAGACATTGCGGCTATACGGCGCCGCCCCGGGGTCTCTCCCGCGCTCTGTCCCTGAAGGCGGCGCGACTCTTGGAGGTTATTTCATCTCCGAGGGTATGACCGTCAGTACACAGAGCTGGACGATGCACCGGGACGAGGATATCTTTGCCGACGCTGATGTCTTCGATGTGTCGAGGTGGCTCAAGGACGGGAACCCCGCGGCACAGACCGCATTCTCGCCATTCGGCGCCGGAGCGAGGGTATGCCTTGGTATTCATCTCGCGTACATGGAGCTCAGGCTTGCGGCCGCCGAGTTCTTCAGGGAGTGCCGGGGCGTGAAGCTGGCACCGGGCACGACGCCGGAGAGCATGAAGCCCGAGAACTACTTTCTGATTGCGCCGGCTGGGCATCGGTGTGATATTGTGCGGGGGTAGGAGTGCGTGCATGGGTTCTCCCAGCGATGGATTGGATTGATGTTGGATATCAGACACAAGGGGGGCCGGTTAGGTTAACAATTTGCCAGGAGGCCGTTCGTCATGGCTCTGGCGGCCCGTGTATATGACTACCTAGTACCATGGTAGCCAATCGTCAGGTGGATAGAAGGACATTTTGGTGGTGATTATGTGCGCGGGTAGGAGAGACATTGGAATCACGAGCTTGAAAGGCCCGGGGGCGGGATTGGTGAAAACGTCACCTTTATATATTATATATTCCATTTCTGGAGGGCCGAGAGTGGCTGACATGATGACCATCAATCTGCTTATATTATATCAAGTCACCATTGGCTGACGAACTTTGATCAACGTGCTGTATATCTTTTACGGTCAGCATAGACTCAGATTCAACGATGAGAAGATCAATTGGCCTGTATCCTACCATGACCATAGCTCAACTCACCCCTGTTCTGGCGGTACCGGCATTGCTTGCGAGATGCGAATACATATGCCTACAGGATAATGAGTATCGTGGTGGACATGGTTCCCCGATGTACAATCCTAGCTTCGTTATTCGCGTCGTCTGGCATGCCAGTTGATTCGGGCTGTCAGTGTGCAGTGGTCGAAATGAAGATAGAGAGTCCAGCGGTGGACATGCAATACTCGCTCCAGCTGTTAAGCACTATCATCCCAGCAAGGGTGTCATGCTATGGATTCAGCGTCGAGTTTCCGTATCAATCGTAAAGGTCACAATGAAGGCCATGGGCTTCAATCGCTGGAAGCCGATCGATCGATCTGGCCGCTTGGACAGACAATCCTTTAGAGTTGCATATGCATCCCCTGGGAGCAATGACGATAGAGAGTGTATTAACCCATAAAGTATATAAACAAAAGAAACCCGCCCTGGACAGAGCACTCAGTCACTCACCGCGACTCCCTCACATTCCACTCCTGCCGAACCGTAATCCCCCTCCCCCTCCCAGCCTTACTATCAGCAATCCTCTCCCTCGTCTCCCCCAAACTCTCCAAACTATCCCCATCCACCTCATCCACCGTCATCCCATCCTCCTGCCGAACCGAAACGCCCACCCGATGTTTCGGCCCCAACGGCCTAAGCCAAAGCTGACTCGTATCATCGTCCGCATCGAGCGGCTGAAACCCCTCATCGCCCATGCCGAGGGTATTATTCCTCGTCCCCCGCGATTTGGGGTGACTCTTGGAGGCGCTGTGGCTGTGACTGTTCGAGTACATGGGCGTTTGGCCGGTGTTGTTCGTTGACCCGCCCTTGCGGCCGAGCAGGGGACGCATCATGGGCACGGAGGCGAGGATCACGGCGAGGCAGGGCTCGATGCCGCTGAAGATGTTGGCCATGGGCATGGTGTAGGTGATGTCTGCGAAGTCCATGGTGGAGAGGACGGAGATGCGGAGGGCGGAGATGACGCATGTTCTATAGTATATCCGGTCAGTACCCTATAAAGAAGGGATGCAGGGTGCTGGGGTCGTACACTGCACCGAGCCCGAAGACCGCGATCAGCGTGACCTTCTTGTACGTCGCCATTTGCAGTCTCGAGAGACTGGGCATCGGGAGCGTGAGGACCACGACGTCGGTGACGAGGTTGATGACCCCCGTGACGGTGAACGAGGTGACCTGGTCGCCGCAGTGGCCGGTGGGGATGGTTTTATCCCAGTTGTACGCGAAGGGCTGGCAGATGAGGCATCCTGCGAGAATGGTGGCTATGGCCCAGGCGACGATCACAGCCATTGTGGCGTAGGACGAGACGACGAGCCAGCGCACGGGGAAGATGCGCAGGTACAGGAAGAGGATGCTGATTTTCGTGCACATGAGGCTGAGCACCCACAGGAACTGCAGTGGGATGATGAGCTTCGACATGATGGTGACCGGCTCGGTGCCGTATCTGGGATTCGACACGATCGCGGTGACGTGGTCGTAGCCGATGCCTGCTTGGAAGACGCCGGTGATGCTGATGCATTGGAGGCCGATGGAGAATGCCTGGAGGTGTTAGGATCCAAGATATATGTGGGATGATGGAAAGCGCACGCAAGCGAGGATAATAAAGTAGTCGCTGACAGTCCACTTCTTATGCGCGATCTTGTGCGCCACCAAGCGGAGCACGACCGCCACAATGGCGAGAATTGAGAAAGCGAACGAGCACCCCAGCACCGAGCGCTGGTTGTGCGTTTCGATGGGGAAGATGGCGACCATGTTGGGTTGACTGGCTCCGAGAAACGAGCGGAAGGGGGAGCAGTGAACGGCTGGGGAATCGTCAGGAGAGCAGGGTACTTAAGAGAGCACCCCTGCAGGTTCTCTTACCTCGGGCGAGCAGCGACTCCAGTCGGGCCTCGACTAACGGAAAGGATCTCGTCCTTTTGCAACGCAGTGGCCAGTTTGCCCCAAAGGATCGGGGAGTGGACTCACCAGGAGATGAGATGAGGCCCGCTTTTCCCGTCGCGAGTCTAGTCGACTCTTGAGGGTGTTGGGGTAGCGTCTGCTATGCGCCGGTGCATACACTATTGCTTCACAAATGCAGGCGCAGTGGGGCGGCACTCTAAACCATGTGGCATGGCGCAGCACCAAGGAACACCGGGCTGGCTTCTGCATTTCCCCTTCTCGTTAAGAATAAGACGGCGAGGCGCTAGACTACAGCGTTGGAGACATCTTCCAAGCTGTTTCATCGGGTCCGACAAGCTCGCGCCAGGACCACATGCCCGTCTCCGTCACCACCTCGCAACTGCTCCTCACCAAAAGGCCACCGAAAAGGCAGACCTCGATCCCGACCTACAGCCCATTGCCCATTTATACCCCCAACTTTCAACGTTCATCCCCAGTCCTTAGTCCTTACACAATGCCCACCCCACAGACGGGAAAGCCCGTGCACGTGGGCGTGTAAATGGGCTCATCGCTTACACGGAAAGACTTGATCGGCCATAATCAGCAGCCATAGGTGAAGCAACTACCACGCCTGCTGGCGACGATGGACAAAGCAGCCGCACACGGCGCACGCAGTACACAGTACGAAGAACAACTGGAGATCGAGAATGACAGAGTAACCCCCCGAGGAAGCTGAGTACGACAGGCCGAGGGATTCACTTTGCCAGGCGGGTTAGTTGAGACGGCCACGGGGGAGGAAGTGCCGGGCTGCATTCTGGACACGTTGGTGGAGAGCGCAGTGGGTTTGAGTCCTTGGTCGGGACTCGGGCAACATGAGAAGAAGGTACACTCGGGGTCTGGGTCCCTGATCTGATGCTGTAGGTGCGACTGGCGACGGAGACCAGGGTTGTTTGACATACGCTTGTCGATCTTACCTTGGGGTACATCCTCAACCGCTGTATCACACCTCTGTCGCGAAACTGGGACTGTGATGCCCCCGGCCTTTACGCATTGTATGCAGCAGCAAACACTCCCAGCTCTGCCCATGCATACATCACATCCTCACTTTCCTGGGCGCGTGCATGCTTGGACTGGCGGTACTCTAGCTGCAGATGCAGACGAGTATTCACTGCCCTAGGGTTGTTAGATGTCCCAAGCGTGGGATCGCCGACGGCTCCATGCACAAGGTCCTGCTGGTATTCTTCGTCCACGTTAGACCAACAAGCTGTGCGACGTACCATACCTTGATCAAAGCGCCGATTGTTTGAGCTGTGACAGGTCGCGTAAGGGACATACAAATATGCCCTGTTTGATTTTGTATATATAGTGCCCCGGGGGGCATTCAATACGAAACACAACTTTTGATCCCACCTCTCCAACACCCCCGCCTCCCACTCCAACAATCACCATCATGCCAACCTCAGCCACAGATTCAAACCTCGCCCTCCACCTCCCTCACCTGCACCCCCTCCGCCGTCAAATAAACCCACGACGTCCCCGCCACAGCCCCCGCAACAACCGCAAGCACCACACAACTCCAATAATACCCCAAGAACTCCGAGAACGAGCCCGAGAGCAACGGGCCAACCATCATGCCAATGTTAAACGGGAGCTCACTGAGCCCGGAGAGCCTTGAGTTCCCACCATACGGACCGAAGAGGTTCGGATCCTCACGCTCGAGGACATGCACGACGGCTACATTTCACTTATTAGCACCAGCACTGCGAAGCAAGAAAGGGACGGGGAGAGGATAATAAAGGCGACCCACCCATCATCTGGAATGTCCCCGCGCCGCGCGTAAACGCCATACACAGCCCAATCCCCGCGAGAGCGGCGATATAAATCCCCTTCCCAGTCTGGTCCGTCGGAACCCCATGCGCCCCCGGCAGCGCAAGAAGCCACAGCAGCGGCGCCATAGCGGCGCAGGCGAGTGTAGTCGGGTAGCGCAGGCCGATGCGGTCGCGCAGGAGGCCGACGGCCGGGCCGAGCGCGATGGTCGGGATCTGCAGGCCGAAGAAGATGAGTCCGACGGGGAGACTGCCCCAGCCGAAGGCGTCGCGGACGTGCAGGGGTAAGGTCGTGTCGAAGGCGGCGATGATCATTGACAGGGCGAGGGTGTTGAAGAGGGAGGCGAGGATTTGCGGGTTTGTGAGCATGATTTTGTAGAAGCCGCGCGGGGGTGCGGGTGCAGGGTTGGGATCGTCTGCTTCGTGCTCGGGCTCTGGGAGGAGGGGCGCTCGTTCTTGCGCTTGCTCCTGCGCCTGTTCGGCAGCTGGGGGCTGTCTCTCTCGTGGCGACGGGGTCTCGATCATCAGCAGCCGGGCGAGGAAGTCGAGAGCTAGCAATAGCAGCGCCGCCGACCAAGCAGGCCAGTATCCGAGCAACTGCAGGAGAAAGCCCGAAACCATTGGACCGGCGAAGATGCCCATCGAGACGAAGGACATGGCGGTGGCGGTGACCTTGCCCTTACTCCGCTCGTCGACGTTATCCACCAGCGTCGCGAACGCGACGATCCAGACCGACGCGCTGGCAAGGGACTGCAAGATCTGCCCGGCCATTAGAACCCACACTACACGCCTCATCAGCATTTACACCCGCAGAATCAAGCAGTGGGTGGTGTAAACGCACCAGCCGGCGCACAAGCAACCAGGACCGTCCCCGACGCACAAGCCGCAAGGGCCAACAGCAAGGGACCCTTCCTGCTCGGCGTCTTATCAGCAAAGTGGGCGATGAAGGGCGCGGAGACAAGCGAGACGGCGCCGTAGAGGGTGAGGAGGGTGGTGGTGAGGTTCTGCGTCTGCGAGGGGTCGAGGGCGAGGCGGGTTTCGAGCATGTACGGGAGGATGGGGACGACGAAGCCGAAGAGGAAGCATTCTACATTTACATAAAATTAGCGGATGTCATCACGATAGTGAAGGTGTCGCGACCAGAAAACAGGCTGGTTGTGGCGGTGGCGATGATGAAGCGCTGCGAGGAGCGCCAGGTGTAGCCCCATGGGCGGGCGTCGTCGACGGTCATGGCGGTTGCAAACAACTTGGAAAGAAGCCGCGGCGCGGGACATGGCGACGGCTAGCTAGTTAAATAGCACTGGGGAGATGGCGGGGGATATTAAGTTGGCTCATATTTGGTCTGGCACGCGGGGCCGGGCTGCTCGGAGGATCAGCCAGCGACGGTCGGATTGGTTCAGGCAGATCTTACGTGCGTATGCGTACCGGTATATTCTGCAGTGCTTCACGCTCACCGTAAGATCAAGCTGCGATGACTCAATGGCAGGGTCCCGTGTGACTCAACACTGCAGGGTGCACTTGCAGCGTGCCTATTGCCCCAGCATCAATGAACCCTTGCCCTGGTCTTGTCTTCAAGCTTAATCTCGCCATGAGTCAGAGTGGGCCAGGCGGATTGGAATGCGACCCTGCTCCATCCGCCTCCACTGCCTCGGTGCCATACGGAGTATCCCCGGTGGAAGCGGAGTCAAAAACTTGGGACGGAAGCCAGCCCTAATTCCATGTCAAATTGACCGCCAATGGAGAACGATGCCAGGCACATGGGGATAGATACAGAATAACAGCACAATCAGCATAAACGGCCGATCGCCCAAGTCAGCCGTGCTCGTGCCTCTCTATACTTGCTGGTGGGCGCAACAATTCCCCTGGATGGTGTGCTAGGCAAGAGACATGGCCATTATCCCATAATAATCATCCTGTAAAGAGCGCTTCCCCCTCTATAAGCGAAGCATTCGTCCACGGTGGTAAAATATGATCACTGCTTCTCCTTCTCCTCTTCCCCTTCCACCACCCCATTCCCCTCCCCCTCCCTTTCCCCATCCTTATAGAACCCCCTCCAACCCCCCCAAACCATCCCCAAACTCCCAAACACCTCACTCTCCACAAACCCAAACCTCCTATACAAGCCGCGCCCCGGCCCATCCGCAAGCAGATTAACATACGGATCCCCCTGCGCCTTATGCTGCATAATGTACCTTAACAACTGATCCAAAACCACACCCCCCAGCCCCTTCCGCTGATACTCCGGCAGCACCGCCACATCCACAATATGAAAGACCCACGCGCCATCGCTGACAATCCGGCCCATGGCAACCGGTATCGGCGCGCCATGAGACTGCGGCACCGGGGGCGTGGGATGCGGAGGGCTGTGGGTGATGTACACGCCGTGCCAGGTGCCCGTCGCAACGGCCGCAGCCTGCGCGCGGGTTTTGGGGGAGAGGCCGGCGGAGAGGCGCAGGTGCAGGTAGGAGGGGATTGGCGGGGTGCCGGGGATGAGGGTGTAGTTTTTTGGGAGGGAGGGTGAATTGGGGTTAGATTTGGGGGTTGAGGATCCCATTGTGAGGATTGTGGTGAGGAGGGTGAATGAGTGGGATGGAGAAAAGGGCGCGGGGTTGGGGTTATGAATGATCGAGCTGGAGCCCGCTAGAATGCGGATGGGCTGGACGGGGCGCAGGGCGGGTTGGAGCCTTGGAGGCGATGCTTACCTGGGCTGGGGATTGGGCCGGCCTAGACCTTTAGTCTGGAGGTCAATCAAGCCATTTAGACATTATGGAGATGGAGGATCTAACCATACTGTTATGCTTAGAGCTTTTGCGGGAGGTCCTGGGATGGGAATCCCTTGTTGTTATGGCCTCCGTCGGCCTTCTCTTCGGGACCTTACGTTCCTAATCGCATGAACAAAGTATACAGAATAAGGACCTCAAGCCCGAGCCTCCACCCTTACCCTGTCAGAATCTCCAGACTCAGCCTCGATCTTCGGCACCGCAGCCCCATAATCCAACCTCCTCCACCCCATGCCCAACGCACAGACGAGACAAAGGACACCGCTCGCAAGAACAAGGTAGAATTCTCTCGCAATTACCTTACTAACCGCCTCAATGCCGTTACCCAAGACCTCAGGATCGCGACTCTGCCAGACAACGCTCGAGACACCGGCCAACGCCTGACGCAGATCCTCCTCGGAATACCCGCGATCACCGACCGCGTCGCGGAGGAAGGTGAAGCCGACGTTCTGGAAAATACTCCCGGCCACAGCGAGAACGATTGCTATCGCGCCCATCTGCGCCATGTTGAAGAGGATGGCTGAGTCGACGCGGTCGCGCGGTGACTGCTGGTTGATAACGTTGGAAATACCGACACCGTGCTGGAAGGAGCAGCCAAGGCCGATGCCGATGAGTGCTTCGAGGCCCATTATGGTGGACTCGGAGGTCGTTGGGTCGGACATTGTATTTGCCATTGCGGCGGATGCGGAGATCGTAAATATACCGGCGAGGAGATAGATCGGTGCGTATCGTCCGATCTTCGGGAGGGCTCCGCCGACGAAGATCACGACGGCAATGAAGACGAGGATGAATGGGAGTATGCGGACAGTTTGCTGCAGGGAGTCGTGGCCGCGCGCGAAGGCGAAGAAGAGAGGTGCGTAGTAGAGGGTCACAGCGTAGGAGGCGCCTGCGCAGCCGGATGCGACCCACAGAGGGAGGAGGTCGAGGCGGGTGAGGAGGTGGCATGGGATGGAGCGTTCTTCCGGGGTAGTGAAGATGCAGAAGGCTTGCTGGATGACCCAGGCGATCGTCACGAAGCCGAATATGATCCACACGGCGATTGTGCTGCCGGAGTCCCACTCCCAGACTGGGCCGGAGAATTCGAGCGCGAGAGCGAACAGCACGGGTGACGCCATGTTGAGTATCAGGCCGACGGGGTCGATCTTGCGGAGCCTTTGGAAGACCGGGATATCGGGGCCCAGGTACTTCGATGGGATGCATAGAACACTAATTGCTAAGCCAAGACCACAAAAAGGAAGGTTCATGTAGAACGCCCATCGCCAGGTGGTGTCTGGATTGGCAGCTAGGGCCGAGCCAATGGGCCCGCCGATCACCAGCCCGATGGCCCAGGTTGCGCTGAGAAGGCCGAACAGGCGAGGAGTTTCGGCAGGGGATGCAAAGACGGCGACGAAGGTTAGGTTACTGTAACCGCCGCGTGTCAACAGGAGCACGAAGGTGAGAAGGGAGATGGATAAGGTACCTCTGGTAAACAACCGCACCGGCAACGCCCATGATGATACGTCCGACAATAACAGCCGAGATGTTCGGTGCCGCGCCGGCCACAGCAGCGCCAGCCATGAAAATGACGACGTTGACGATATAGATCCAGCGCATGTCAAAGCACTGCATGATCTTCCGGGCGAAGCCGAGCACAGCGAAGTTGGCGAGACTGTACGAGAGTCCGATCCAGGGGAGCAGCTGGATATTGCCAAATGCTTCGTACAGGCGGGCCTGGATGTTGGCGACGTTGCTCACGTCGTAGCCTGACTCGTTAGTGACTATGGATCGAACTAGGCCATGGGGCATACCGTTGATCAAGGTTGTCAGCAGGATGACGACCATGCTCCCCTGCCATTTCCACGCAGGCATGCCCTCGCGCGGGTTAGGTGTAGGTGCAGCGACATTGCCATTGCCGTTAGAAACGGCCTTCTCCGTGCTGGGAGTTAAGGCGCTTGTACTATTCTCCGACATATCGCAGGAGGATACCGTGAGCCGCAGGCTTGGGGAAATTGGTCGACAGGGGAAATCCACGGGCGCTTCAGGTCCTTATACGGTGCTGAAACGACGGGAAGAGCCCCCAACGGAAGTATCGAATCTCGTCCAACCTCGCAAGGCTGTCCGAAGCAGTGAACAAACAACATGTGCCGTGGCAGTGCCGCAGCGCTGAATGCATCCGAATCCGGTTAATGGCACACTTGGCTAAGGCGATCGACAAAGATCAAGTGCGGCAGTGGCTATGAATCGGGCTACCAACTCCGCGCTGCAGATCTGCTAGAGCGCTTTGGTACGTCACGCCGCGCTACTGCCGTTTGCTCCGACGGCTGCTCCGTCGAGGATTCGTCCATTGCGGCTCGTGCTGTTTGTTTGTCTCGGCTGCATGGCCGTTCCCGTGATGGGACCTACTCGTAAATTCATGGCGGAGATTGGCATTGCTTGAGGATAGGTTGGGTGCTTGTCGTCTTGTCTGGGGCCGACTATGCGTCCTCCCCAGATGACCGCTTCTTTGTTTGGATGACGTTAGACGCACTGGTCTTGCTGATCGCAAAGCATACTTCGTGCCCAGTGTATAATATTTTCAACCATCAACGAGATTTATACCCCTTACTGGTGGGTCACTGAGAGATCCGTCCGCTATATCACCTAGAATCGCAATTTCAGTTTGTTCACCGTACTGTTTCTTCCCCGTCAAAGAAGCTTGTCTCTGCCCCTGGCCCTGGGCACAGACTCGGCGGCTCGGGGGATAAGCATACACTGGCAGTTCCTGTACCACCTCGAAACCCCATCACAGCATCAGGCACAGCCGATGTCACGAATTCCAGCCGTCCGCTTCGATGAAAATGTTCATCGTCAATCTCGAGACAAAAGTGCAGGGGCCGGCCAATGCCATTTCGCACGTCAAGGCAAGAGGTCGATTGAACCTACTTTGAAACTCCAGTCTCAGTCCTTTGTCGAGCTCCCAATATGGACTGGTTCTGTGCGACGAGTTCGTTGTGCGACCGTGCAATGTAGGTTCTTTCGTCTTCGTCCGGAACCCGGCGCCGATGGTGTCAAGGTCATGTCGCGGTCTCACAACAACGGAACATGTAGAATGCATGGTTGATGAGGCTACGTAGAGCCGCTAGTTGGATTCGAGATCCGATGCCGTCACCTGGTTGAAATCTCTCCTCGTTGCTGACTAGGCCGGAGAATGGCATGTGCACGGCCGAAGGATACCCTCGCCGCTCATTGGGACAGAGGGGGTGCCTATGCACGAGCCACGCACTCCTGAGCAGTCCAATCATCACTGGGTATTGCATTATCCGCTACCGCGCCGGTGGTGTCTGCCACGGACATCTGCGACTCAGATATTGCTTGTCATGAAGCTCCGACCGCTGGATTTTGCTTGGTGGCTGAGTTTCAGTGAGTGCATGATAAAGCGCTGGTAAGCTTTCTGGGTGAAACGTTGTCTTTGACAATGGCAAATCTCTCGACGAGGAGTGTTGGTTGTAGCAGCTGCAGAGAGCGTTCACTCATGTCATGGTGGAAGGGCCCGTGCGGCAACCCCACCTTCGAGGCCCCTCGCGGACCCTGGCCCAAGACCCCACCAGGTAACACTTCTGAGGGCCACTCTCTAGCCAACATCCTCGAGGTTTTGAAGGAAGGCGCTTAGAGGTTCAAATACTGGATTCGATTGGAGGTTTTCTGCCAAAGGCCATGGTCGGTTTCATCTATTGCCAACTCACGATCAGTCGATACAGGGCGCTTAACAGAAGCAGGGAGCGAGATAAAATCGCGAACTTGTGTTTCTCCTCACTTCGCATCGAACGAACGCAGCTTGACCATGGCCGAGAAGAAGAAATACCTGAACGAAGACGACTTCAAGGCAGGTACGTTGCCGAGCTCTCCTCCTATCGTGACTAGGGCCGTAACCGATTCTGACACAAGACAAAGGGCTCATAGCTCTGGACAAAGAAATGGGGACCGATCCCTGGCTGGTCGCCTTCGCACCGATCCGAATCGTCTCGGCAGGCGGTTTCCTGGCCGTGAGTTACCTGAAGAACCGCGATGCCACCGGCGACCTCGACTACCTGATGGATCCTGAGTTCGCCCGAGACGAAGACGTACAGAAGCCGTTCCAGGACGCGATTCTCTCCGTGGCGGCGAAGCTACAGTTCGTGGACGACTGGGTGAATGAGGCCATGGCCATATTTGTGACCAAGCGGACGCGGGAGATCGTGTTTGAGGGCGCCGCAAAGCAGGGGATCACGTTGTTCAAGGGGGAGAATCTGGAGGTTCTTGCTGCACCGCTTGAATGGGCACTCGAGCGGAAGCTAAGGAGAATACACGCGGGGGATAGAGGAAGGAAGGCAGAGCTGGACATGTCTGATGCAATCGCGATGTTGAAGAAGCTTCGGGAACGGAACAATGGACCGCTGGATCTCGAGGTGATCCGGACGATGAACTTGAATGGATTCGACGTGTTGCCTGATCATGGAACGATGCAGCGGGTCGCTGAGGCGTACTGCCAGCAGTACAACGAGGATATTTTCGGATAGGGCCGAGGCGAGCAGATTATGCCTTAGGATTCAAGTGAAATCAAAGACCAGTTGGCGATGCCTAGATTGTGTAGAACCAGCCCGTATTCGTTACAATATTGCGCCTAGCGAAGTTTTCATCCTTGCCACCTTCTTCCAATACAAGGTTACCCTCGGCATCTAGCATTTCCGCAGGCATCGATTTCCTGAGGAGACCCCTATCAATCGGGGGCACATGTCTAGTCCAGCCCGGAAGGACTTCAGGGGTAAACGGAGGGAAAGGGTCACTATCCTCCTCACGATATACATGCTTGCGATTTCTCCGCAAGCCCAGGCTCAACCGCCAGTTAACGGCTTCGTGCAATTCCTCAACGATTGACGCGAGGAGAGCATACCGGATCGGATCCGGGTCTGCGGGATCAGGGATATCTCGGACTTTCCACTCCGGCCGATAGAAGAAGTACTCAGTCTCGAAACCAATCATGTCATAACGGTTTGCAAGATGCAGCTCGTAGAGACGGTAGATACATCGCAGCTGGGTATCGCGCATCTGCCAGATTGGAATGGCGCGAAGGTTGGTGATGTCGCCGAATTGACGCTCGATGATTCCGGTCCCGTGCTTTTCGTCTTCTATCAAAGCACGAGGGGAGAAGGGTCCTGGTACTGGGAAGAACCAGGAAGGGAAGGGGATGAACAAACGCAGGAGAGCAAGTCGAGGGTAGTTATGGTGATGGGAGAGACGGATTATACTGCTCCGAATTCGGAGAGGGGACTCAAGGCGTCGAAGCCATATCCGGAAGCGCGTCCAGAGGGAAATCTTCGGTCTTGAACGGCGGTGAGGCGGCGCCATTGGAGTTGATATGAGTATTGAATATATTGACTATTGAGAGAGAAGCAGGCGAGGGAAGATCAAGAATTCAAGTGGAGTCTGAGCAGGAGCAGTCCACGGTGATCACATGACTGGAATCCGAGCTAAGCCCGATTGACTGCTCTGTACCGGGATGACGTCACTGTCCACCCGGGGTATGGCGTGTGCTCAGGCATGGCCGCATGTATAGCCATCCAGCGGCAAAATGCGCCGGAGTGTCCTCTTCTCTGCAGCGATGATGAGAGTCCATAGATATATGACCCTATGGAGGGGAGCGACTCAATGGGTGAGAATGTGGTTGGGTGAAATGAAAGAAACATCTCAATATTCAATATATATATATTCCGAACTCTGCCATAGAACTGTTATAGTTTGACGGATTGGGTCGCAGAAGATATATGCAACAGATCTCTTCAAGGGAAATGGGCGAGCAGCACATCACAAAGGAAAAATACTGACGGTGCAAAGTATCAATCTACCCGTCCTCCAACTCCGGAAACCTCTCAACATGCTCAAACCCATCCTCTCCTCCATCCCTCTCAACGTGCCTTCTCGTCTCACCTCTCACAAAGAGCGTAAAGATGTCAGGGCGAGAGTAATGTCCAACAGGATCAACCCACTGCTTCGCACGATATATCTCGTCAAAGTCCAACTCAGCATAGACAATGCCCTCCCAATCCGCTGGGAGAGGGTCCGTAATACTCCGCCCACCGGGCGCAATGACCTCAGTGAACCCACCTCCGACAACAGCCGTATGAGGAAGTTCCTCACTGGCGCCGTCCTGGCCAGGACTGTCAGTGGCGGCCGCGGTGTCGGTGGGCAGGAGGCCATTGGCCTTGAGACCCTTCTTCGTTTGGATGGAAGACTCGAGGATAACGAAGACGCCGCCTTCATTGTTGGTATCACGGTGGAAGAGCATGACACCGGCCCATGTGTAGATAACCCGTACTGTGCCCCGCGGCCAGGGCCGGCGTTCTCTGGAACTTGTATTCTCAACTCGGCCCTAACATTTCAAAAAACGAGTCGCGCGAGAATGGACGAGAGCAAAGTAGCGAGCGCAGAGACAGCTAACGTTATGGACCTTGACGGCCAGCCTGGTGTTTCCTACAGTTTCGAGCCCGCGCCTTCTTGGGTTAGGTTCGTTCCTGGGCCAACACCAACCTATCGTTTCAACGGACTGTCCCCAGCTGCCTCGCGCAGAGGAGTAATCATGGCAGGCTGCGCTTGTCTCATGATATCTGGCATCAGTAGGTCCTCTGTTCTTAGGTGATGGCGCAATAGTAAGCTGACGCCAGATGGCCTGAAGACGTCGCATTGATGGGGAGCGTTTCGTCAACACCATCTTATCTGGAGTGCACTGGCCTCACAGACGGATCAAAACACACGAAACGTCTGATCGGTCTCATCAACGCCATATACTGGGTCGGTGTCATTATCGGCGCGTTGATGATCGGACCCATCTCAGACAAAGTCGGACGGCGCCGGGCCATTTTCAGCGCTGGAATATACGCGATGGTCGCGATCCCATTGTTTGCGTCTCTGCAGAACTTCGGCTGGGCATTGGCGTTGCGCTTTCTGAACGGTTTGGCGACAGGGTCATTCGACTCGGTTGGTCTGAACTGGTCGGCGGAGTCCATCGACCCTAGAATGAGAGGCCGAGCAATCGGGTTGCAGATGTGCTGCGCTGCACTGCGAGCCAGTCAGTCATACTTCCTAGTATACGGGATATCGAAAGGGACGAACAGGGAGATTCTGTGGCGGTTTCGGATTGCCTACCAATGCGTCCTGATTCTGCTTGTCTCCGGCCTTGTGTGGATTCTTCCGGAATCTCCGCGATGGCTGGTGCGGAGGGGTCTTATCGAAGAGGCAAGAGGCATCTTGCATTCGATACAGGAGCGCCAGATTGATGGTGTCTTTGAAACGGCCAAGAAGGTTGACGAAGAAATTGTTTCCATTTAGAGAGCACTGAACGAAGAACTTGTCCACAATTCCTCAACCACATATCTGAGCATGCTTTTTAAAGAAGACAGGTACAAAACGGCCCGGCGGACATGGTCGGCTTTGTTCGTGCAGTTTGCGACGCAAGCCATGGTGGGATCCGGCATCGTTGCCGGGTACGGAATCAAGATATTCGAATCGGGTGGCTGGTCAACTGACTTAGCGTCGCTGCTTCTAGGGATAGGTATTGTGATCCAGGCAGTGGTTGGGTTTATTGGCGCGATGTATGCCGACAAGATTGGGCGTCGGAGGGCCTTCATATATGGTGCTTTGCTTGGCTCCATCCTATTTGTATTTGTTGGAATGTGCGGCCACTTCGTGTCGAAGACCATTTAGACCGACACCCCGCTAGGAAAGCAGTACAGTTCCGCTGTGATCGCTCTGATGATGATTTGGAACGCTGTGTTTGGGATGACTTGGCGTAAGTTTCCCCTTGCAGCAGGTATACTTCGAAGCTAACGGCACAGTCTGGGCTCTGTTTACGTACCCATCTGAAATCTTTCCGGCGCGATCGAGGATACGAGGCAGCTCAATTGGCATTGTTGGCCTCGGTCTGGGGTCTTTTTTCACCAGCATGATAAGCCGCTACCTCTTTGCCGCGTTGGGGTCAAATGTTATGTTTTTGTTTTGCGGCCTAAGCTTTGTTGTCGCGGCCATATCGTATCTCTGGTTGCCGGAAACCGCCAACAAGAGCTTGGAGGACCTCGATCGTCTGTATGATTAGTCTGCAAATTTGCTGTGCTAGACAGCCCTTAGGTCAAGCAAACACATAGCTTCAGGGACCACGGAGAGATTCAACGCTGAAAACGACAGTTCGCGTGGTGGCGCAATGGGAATATGAAAACATCATTCGATCGTGGCATGATGAAAAGTGGCTAATAATCCGATGGCATTAACATTGGACATTAACCGGCTGGTCTGTGAGAACCTCTTGCAAAGCACTATCGAAGAGCTCGTCGCTTCGAGCAGTCCAAAAGCTTGGAGCGTTTGCAGGCGAAATATTCCACTTTACCGCAAAGGCTTTCAAGTCATCGAGAATGCGAGATGCCGAATGTGTGGTCTTGACATACCTTAGTTGAACTGAAATTCTTTGGTCACACGAAGGGCTCTCAGAGATGATCGGTACGACACAATATCCGGTTGCAAGAGAAGAGCGAGGTGGACCAATGCAGATGTGAAAGCGGCATGTAAGACCATGGGATCCGACAATGTGTTGGGAAAGATATCGCGGTATGGTTTCAGAAGCGTCGTGATGGTACTTGCAGACTCCTGGCACCGACGATTGGATAGTTCTGCAGTTTGACCAGGGTCGCCAAGCAACCGGCGATGCAGGAGAATGAGGCCCGTATGGAAGCACAAACTGGGAAACGTTAGCAAAGTACAAGGCAACTGGTATGAATCATACTGGAAAGCAAGTAAACTCGGATGGATTGTCTTGCTTTTTGGTATATCCCGCATAGCCGAGGGCACTGAGGAGAGCCATGAAATGTACTTCATGTGGCCATCCGAGATGGCATCGTCTTTCGCAACATCGTCGATAAACCGGTACCTGTAGACCTGGTAAACGAAGGGCAAAGTTAGAGTTAACGAAAGCATACAGCTTGCCGAGGACAATGTCCTGATTCCAAAAGAGTTCCACATGGCAGGCAAAGATGAGCTCGAGCGACAATGGAAGTTCGCCAACTTCGGCGCTCGTCGACAGGAGTGTTAGGGGTCGAGTGGTTGATACATCGACATGGTCGATGTGACAACCCCTTCCTTCGAGTACGGCCAGCCGCCTAAGCCAGTGAGTTTGTGTTTATCAGGAGAGAAGCGAATTTACCTATCAAGCCAGAGGCAAGCCCAAAAGGCAGAGGCAGGCTCCTTTGCCTCCGTTGCAAGGTCATTCAATGTTGCCTGATCTGACATACAGTCGACATGTACTCCAAGCCTTTTGGCCATCGCACAAGCGACACCTGGACCTGGTCAGTGACAGTCCGGTAGCTTAGCTGTGGGCTTACTGTTAAGAACTGTAGCAGAGTCAAATTTTCCATGCAGCGCGTCAAGATATGCTTTCAGCAAGAACGCCTTCATGTTTTCCAAGCAGCAATTTTCAAGCTCAAGGCCCGCCATTGAGCTGAATTCACCGCCGTAATGTTCAACCAATGACGACTTGCGCGACAGGACTTGAGTTGTAGGCTCGTCCGCCTCGGACACGAAACATCCTGTCGAAGCAGAGGGTGCGAGGCTGATTGCTGGATCAACGCCTCCACGTCCGCGCAAGCATCAACACATACCACTGGGGATGTAGTCTGTGCCTTCTCCCTAAAAGCATACGGTAGAACAACTGCAGCTCAGCAAGAGTAAAACTGGTGCTGTTGGCCTGGCCTTCGGCATTGGGTAGCTCAACCGGCCTCGGCAGCTGGGAACCAGCCGTACCCATCTGATGCTGGTTGCTTGTCGGTCCCATATAAACTGTTCGGCCACTCGGTTTATCAAGCTGGATTTGGGAGCGTTTTCCAGCCAGCACAGAGCGCACCAAGGCTGTTTTGTATGTGTCCCAAGGTAGCGGCGGAAGTTCGAATATCCATTCATCCACCGACTCATCACGCGGCAACGCAATGGCCCCTTCTTGCTCCTGTTCTTGCTCTCGCAAAGGGCGACCTGGGCTGGTTCGCAATTGGAGGTCTCCATCTTCCATTTCTGCACCGCGACTGTCCCGTAGTGATCGGACCTGTCGCTCGAGATAGGCTACGCAGTTCTGTAGCGCACTAAATTCAACATGGGAGTGTCGAGACCTGCGGTGGTCAATGGTGTCGTATGTGCATTCATGAGACAGTCGCTCGCAGCGGGAACACTATTGCAGCCTTGGTCAGAGAGGTATTTTAGTCACGGATTGGCAACATACCTTCGGGCGTACTCCATCGCACTTCGACCGACGCTGCTTGCAATGCCTGCAGGCACTTGTTACTGTGGGACTAGATCGTTGCATTGTTGGATGACGGATTTGCTAGGAGTTGAACTTGGTCAAGCGAGAAGAGGAAAGCCTGCGTCTCGAGACAATACCTAGGTGAAAGTCGAAGCTTATCATTCGCGGGAGATACCTAAGGAGTACGGTAGGTGTACGGCATTAGTCAAAGTCAAGGCATGACATTGATGGCCTATTTCTCGACCATGGAGCGTTTGTGCATTTCCATTAGACCAGAACATAGCCACCAGGCATTTTGCTTATGGACCGGTGTTGAATCCTGCTAAAGCGTCCATTCCTCTTTATTAGGGTGCGGATCTTCCTCACGGTATCAAGCGTACCCTACCGGGGCCTTAGCAAGGGACCAAGCAATCCACTCGATATCACTCCAGTGGTCTTTTGGTTCAGCTGGGCGTGAATTTCTGAAGCCGGCAATGACTCTAGTTACCGCAGAACGCGAATGTCATTAGTATGCAAAGTACATCATGCCCGAACTATCTGTTGCAACACTCACATGCGGGAAGCATCGGAATCCCAATAGAGATTAGCGGGATTCAATTGAGAAGGGTAGATGCCGGCTTGAACACAGTCCCTGACAATGACAGCCGTCAGTCCGTCATGATACATGATGCGAAGCCCTTGGGAACAATGGCATACACAAACGCCACCCGGAACGCATTCCGGATCCGATCACGCTCATCCCTCTCCAATGACTAGAACAAATAAGCGCTGAGTTGAAGTCCCGCAGCTCGGTCAAAGAGAATGTAATGGAGAAAGCCGCCGGGGACGAGACGCCTATCATCCTGTGTTGTTACTGTGTGATGTCGCATCAGGGCGCTAGACCTGCACCGATTCACTTTCAACGTCGAGAGAGGGGCGAGCTCGCGCTGGGCTTCGAAGGGGAGAGTAGTTGCCGCCTGCCGCGCTCGTTCGGGAAGGATGCTGTACTCGGAGCCTGCGTTCGGCACTCTGCACCAAGACGGTCATTCTCTATCGTCAGGTCATGAGGTGGTGGTTCTATTGACTCACTGCATAAGGACGTTCAGGACCGCAGTTTCTTCTGGGTTCTTGAGGTTCCTGCAAATAAAGGTACCGTGAGCGGCGCCGGGAACGGCTTGACCGGTTCCAGGCTCGTTCCAATCCTCTGCCGAAGGCTGGCTGTTCCGATCGCTTAACTTGGTCTCCAGCACCCACTGCGAGGTTTGAGGAGGGTGCGCGATGTCCACCGTCCCGCCGACCCAGTCGTCGAAGAAGAATCGCTCGGTCATGGTCAGATGGGTGGAGGCAATAGTGATTGAAAAAGCGAAAGATAGGCCTGAGGTGGATGAAGCAAGAGAAGGGAAGACGGCGACTGAGGGTGTTACTGGGGAACTCTAAAGTCCGGGGCCGCCACTTCCCTCTCTCAACCATCTCGATTCATCAGCAGCACAACCTTCGAGCCTTTCTCAGACACGTCAATGAAACTTGGTAGGCATTTGGTCTTCTCATAGCACGACGAAGCTAACATTTGTCTGATTGCAGTCAAACATCCCACCTTTAGACGGTCCTGGCCAAAACAGCATTTCGCGCACCCCTACTCAGCTGCCTAACACCTTTCTAGCTATCTCGGATCTCGTTATTTCCCTGCAAAAGCTATTGCCAACGCGATGCATAGAACCCGATGACGATCCAACCTCAATACATTCGACATTGCAACGAAAACCCGCGCGGCCATGATTCCGTTCCGAGGTAGCAAGGCGGGGTTGGTTGCGCCAGCAGATGAAAACGGGGAAGCTGATGGGCTGTGGACTCTTGGATAAAATGCTATTGACAGTTCTTACCAAGTCATTGAGCATCGTGGCTTAACAACCGCCGCCGCTTCCGCCTCCACCACCACCGCTCCCTCCGCCTCCTCCGCTGCCTCCTCCGCCGCCGCTTCCACCACCACTATATCCTCCCCCATATCCACCACTCGAACCACCGCCGCCAGTATGGCTATACCCATATGAGTGAGCACTATATGACAGCGCACCAGCCGCAGTACTGGCGCCGCATGCCGAACCGCAATTATACGCAACTCCGTGCACGGCATCGTCGTCTCCAGCTGCTTGATCCGTCTTCTGAAACTGGCCATCCGTACACTGATAAGCATCTGAAGAAGCGGCGTCCGTCAAAGCAAAGTAATACGGATAATAGTTCGCTCCCGAGTCGGCAAGAGGTCTGTGCTCCCACCGTAGGCCTTGGAAACCGACATATCCGGATGTGACGTCGCGCGAGATAAGCTCTTGCTTATACCGAGGGGTGCCGGCGGTCTGCCAAGGGACATCGGTGATTCTCATACGGGCGTCGCGGAGTTTCTCATATGCGGCCTGTTGCTCAGCGTGCTCTGACATCGCCCATTCTGCGAGGAAGTAGAGCTCGTCGGCGCCTAGCTCATGATAGTGACTCCAAGGTTGAGCACGGTGGATCCCGCCTAACCTGACGCGGGCTAGGGAAGGGTATTTTTGAAGGAGGCTGCTGCCACCGGACAGCCAGGCGGACGCTTTGACGAACCGGGGAGATAGAGCCATCGCTGTCGCCACGCGGCTGAGAGCGGAGGAAGCGGCGAGGAGGGACTGGCGCGATTTTATCCACTCCATCATTGCGCCGCCCGGAGGGTACAAGTGCCGCTCACGCTGCAGGTGGAGAGTGATAACGGACCAGCTGTCGAATGGCGAACCCCATACGTGTTTCGCAATATTGCAGTCGCCGCACTTCGTTGGGCAACGCTTCCAGGCTTCCGAGCAGTCCCACGGAAAGATCTCTTGGTGTTTGTACAGCGGGCCTCCGGAGAACGAACCCCAGTCATGCCAGTACTCTTGCAGCGAGTCGATGATGTCTCCATCTTTGAAACGCCCGAAGTAGTACCGATGCAGGTACTCCTCCGTGAGGCCGTACGGAACGTCGTACTTAGTCAAAATCCGATGGTCCGGATACTCCGTCGCGCTCGGACACAGAAAGCTCATGAGATACAAGGGGTCGTCTGAGTCGAGGACCGCGGGACCACGAACAAGGGGACTGAAGATTGCCGGATCAAGTAGGGAGAAACAAAAAGTGACGCAGTTGGCTGGCTTTTCCGGGGCCGAATGCTGGTTGACAAGCTTCTCGCAAATCGCACCTAGGTAAACCTTCAGTCGGCATCCCAGAAGCACCTTGAGCGCGTTGAGTATAACGGACACGCTGACTTCAAGTGCGTCGCTCTGTTCCCCGCTCGATCCGTCCAGATCAAGGGCATCCACAGCCGCCAAGATAAGCTTGACAATTTCCTCCTCCGTCTGCTGCTCCTCAGTTCCTTCCAGTAGGCCAGAGAATGGTGCTCCGACAACCTGCTTCATCCCAAGCTTATATCGTTTTGGCTTGCTTCTCGTTTGCTCGCGCTCCCAGAGCTGCCTCGCTGAGTCTCGGTCCATGCGAAGGGTGCGCTGCGAGGCTCGAGTGGTAGACCGCTCGTGAAATGTCGGCAAGTCCTTCAGTGATATCAAGACACCGTTCCTATCGATTGGTCAACACCTTCAACGCGACCGATGGAGTCCATGGAACGTACTTTGAACAATGCTCGATCAGAACAGGCCCAACGCGCATGCTCATGTGCACGAAGTCAAATGGGTCCTTGTCAACACATTCCCGAAAGAACGGAGGAACGTCCTCATCGGCCTTCGCTCTCCCAAGCGAGCTATGAAAATATGAATTCGAATTGACATTATTTGGATTGGGAATTGTCGTCTTGCCAGCAGTAGAGGTCGATCGCTTCTTCACCCTCCCAACCATCCGGGACATGGTCGACTGTTTCCCCAGCGGGGGTTCAACACCAGCCGTTGCGAGGAGCCCTTCATACTTTGCCTCGGCAATCTGGGCTTCGATACCAAGAACTGGGCACGGCTTTCCTGAACCGGAAAAATGATTGTGGCCTTTGATGTTACGGGAAGACGCTGTTGCGACAACTTCAGGGGGGCACTTGCAGAGCCCCTGCTCCTCAGCGAGCCTGACCGCATCGTCCACGATAGAGTGTTTATACTGTTTCACGTATGACGTATCGCCGTAATGATGCGCCCAATAGCAGTCTTCGCAGATGGTAGACGTCGCAAATGTTTCCTTTTTGCTGGTAAACATGCTGCCCGTGATGGGGCTGTGGCATCGAACACATTTCAGGACTCTAATCTCGATGCGTTTACCCTTGCTTTGCGCCATCACTGATAAGTTAGCGTTAGAGCGTCCTATGTTCCTAGTAGGGACCTTACGTTGCGGCACACCAGGCACTTTCCGCGGCTTCGGCTGGGTTGGACTGTCTTCGATCATTATGTCTATGTCCAGGAACCCTACTGTCATTAGCTTAAAAAGTTATGGCTCAACACTGGCCAACCCACCGGCGCATTGCAGCAATAGCCATGCCTGTTCTTCAAATTTGTCGCGCTTCGGAATGTCTAACTCATGTCAGCCGGCATACTCAATCAAGTGGTGTGTCTTCTTACAGGTCATCTTATCTCGTACTTCAGCTTTGACTCTAGCGCTACTCTTCTCCGCGATAACGTCGAGTGTCAGGTTGCGGATCGCTTGTTCGTTGTCTATGATCCTCGTTATCGGTTGTCCACTATTGGCAGCTCGCTCCTCGCCTAGACCTGATTAGTGGCTTCGGAGAGTTGTCTTGGACGGATCATGGCTCACGGTATCGAAGGGCAAACGCGCGCGCCTGCTGGCTAACCTGGTCGACGAACGTGTCGTACCCATGAATTGGATCATCGCCTTCATCTGCCACGTCGACACTGGCGTATTCTGGGCTCTGCCATACCTTCAGCGTACGGATGATGTTTTCAATCTCCTCTCGCGCGCCTTCCCAGTATAGCTTCTCTAGTTCCTGAGCCAAGTGCTCCTTTGCCGGGCCCACTGCTGTCCACGCAACAGAGAGTTCATCGTCAGGCAGAGGAACCGTGCTGCTGATGGACTTCCACCGAGTGTGCCATGGTTTTCGTGACATCGTGAGCTTCAGAGTTTGGCCTCTGGAGCAGGCCGACTTCTGTGATGATTTATGTGGTGACGGGGCGCGATGGCAGCCTACCTCAATACGAGCTGGGCAAACGGAAGATGAAAGCGCCTTGAGGCTGAGTCGGGGCGCGCGCAGCAAACACGAGGCTGGGAGCCACGCCGGGGAGGACTTTAACGCTTACCTACAACGCCTTCATTTAGGTAACTGTAGCTCCAGGCGCTAGCCAGTAACCTTGCTCATATTTGACTGGCAGTTAATTTCGCCCCGTGCCCGACATTAAGGGGAGCCTGCGCAAGGCAGCTTTCGCCTCGCGCATATAGTGAGGTTCCAACCAGTACAAAGAGGGTTGGAGACCCTATTTTGTTCCCCTACCCTGCTGTGGAAATCGAACCTGCGCGTAACCATGGCCCTCGTATCTCCTACGAACCTTCTATCCCTTCATCACGCGTCCGGCGACCAGACTACGGCGCTCAATAACTGTCCATCCAGGCGATACCGTTATGCCAACGAGACAAACGGCGAACAGCCGCTGAAGATACCAGACCCGATGCTCTTTCTTAGTCCATCGACAGATCATCGGCCGAAGGTGCTACCGACAATCAGCCACTGTGCTATCCACCTCGAAATGCTAGAGGTGTTCCACACTCTACGCCACGAAGTAATCCAGTCCACGAACCTGGATGCTGCGTTCGACATCGGTCCCAGAGCCACCACGAAATCCCGACGGAAGTGGGATTCTAGAACGCGGAAATATATAGCGGAAGCGGTGTTAATACAGGACCCCAATATCGGAGATAAACGAAAAATGAAGTGGACGTACTTCCTGCACATTGCAGCGACTCGATTTCATGAGTGGATACGGAGGGTTGCGAATCACTTGAAAGATGCGCAACTTGGAGCGCCTCTTCCACGTTATCTGTTTCTTCCGCCCCTTGGTAAGTCAACCTGACAGCGCCCAGGATTAAGCTGACGGTGTACCACAGATGTGCTGGTAATATGGCACGCTTTTTTGTTAAATTGCGATGACTTCAAGGCGTACTGCGAGAAGAACAAGCTTTTCGGCATCCAGGATATCGTGTTTCCGTGGGCAGACATCGTACGTGCCGCACTCTCAACGCGAGGATTACCCTGAACAGAGGCTGACTTGGTTTTAATAGCACGCCGCCATCGACCCAGATACATGGAAATACACTCTGCCAAGTGAGCACAGTGACTGGCTCCTCAACACCCACGGTCTAGATTCGAACCTGGTCGAAACACTAGCCCACAGCGGCAAAAAAGACACTCTAATCCAAAACGTCCTGCATGCATTCTACGAACCCCAAAAGCGCTCCAAGCAGCACAGCACCTCCCGCCTATCCCAGACCCTTCGAAAAGCGCGCCAAACACAAGAACTGAACAAACCACTCGTTGAGAACGTAGAGCGCCAATGCGTCTTCGTCGACAAAATGCACGCGCACCGCTGGATCCGCAGCCCAGCTGTCGCGGGCACGCTCCGCAGAGCCGTGGACCGGTACGGCAAATTCCTGCACCTCTTCCGTCTACACCCGGATCAATTCCTTGTTCCAACGCTCGATGTCGATCTCGTCTGGCATACGCACCAATGCAGCGCAGGCAGATACAGGACGTTCGTGACGGAGCGTGTCGGCCGGTTTATTAACCACGAAGACAAAATCGGTCGCGGGACGCTGGACGATGGGTTCACGAATGCGGAGCAGTGGTATCGACTAAGGTATGGAGAGCAGTACCAGGTGTGTCTGTGTTGGTCGTGCGAGGCGATTCTGGAGGAGGTGGAGGAGCTTGATGATGATGAGTTCGGTGAACTTGATCCGCAACTTGGGGATTTGGCGAGTAGAGTTGAGCGCAGGGTGCATTACTATCGCGAGGTGGAGGTTGCGAGGACGCTTGGGAGGGAGATGCCGCTTTGGGGTCATGGCTAGGCTCTTCTTCTCTACCTAAAGAACGCCCGGCTGGAATAGTGGTTAAGGGGTATATGGGCTCGAACTCATAGTTTGGAGGTAGGCAACTAAGGAGAGATATTTATATTCATCCGCTGGGCTTGAGGATTATGCAGGCCCCTGGGCAGCCTACTCGGCATTCCTGATTCAGACCAGGTAGATAGAGTAAGGCATTACTGGTACTATACGTATCCAAGCGAAAGCAAAAAGAACGATTTGATTTCAAAGATAACAACAAGTAAAAACGGATTCAACTGCAGCAGATTCGCCCATGCCGACGTCCATCACAAGCTCTTATTCTCAATGCAATCACCTGTTTCGCATCGGCCAGTGTCGAACCCCAAACCCCACTACTCGTCACTCTCAGGTCCAAAATCCGCGTCGGAGTCCGCCTCATCCGTGCATATCCCAGCAGTACGCCCTTTCGCCTTCTTCACCGGCGCCGGAGCATCGGGCCCAGCATCACCCCCGACCGACGACCTGCCTCGCTTCTTCGTGGTTCTCGGGACACCAGTCGGGGACGAAGTGTTCTTTTCGGGTTTGGCAGTCAGGCTAGACTTAGGCTGCTGCGTCTGCGTGGCAGTCAATGCCAACGCCGACGCCGATGGCGCCGTAGCCTGCGCCTCCTTTCGAAGTTTTGCGAGCTGGTGGTCGATTGATTTGGGTGTGTAAGCTGGAGCTTCATGTTAGCAGGCGCTTGCGCTTTGGCTGGGATGCGCTGCAAGGGGCGGGGCGGACATACCGGGGCCCATGTACGCAGCGAGGTCCTTGGTGCTGATCTTCACTTTCTGCGCCTGCAGGAGCTTGAGTGTTCCGTGGAAAAGCTGGTGGCCATGAGTTAGCTGGGTGGGATAAGCTGTGGTTTGCATTTGGAGTGGATGGGGAAGGGAGGTGGGAATGGAGGTGTTGTTTGGTGGGTTGGAGATTTTGGGTGCGGGAGGTCAGGACCTTGAGATTCGCCTTGTCGTCCCAACTAACGCCCATTGTGGAGGATAGGGTGTTGATTAGGATGAAGAAGTTTTAGTGGTTGTGGTATAGAGGTTGGTGGTTTTCAGAGTTGTTGGGTGGATGGTGTGATGGGAGGAGGAGGGAGAAGATAGAAGGGAAGTTAAGTGGTAAAGGGAGAAGGGACAGGAAAGAGAAAATTAAAAAGTAAGATAGTTTTGTAAAGGAGTAACACAACTTGAGTCTCCCTAAGGTAGGCAGCCTGAAACCTATTATTTTAGTTAGATTCTGCAATAGATTCCTGGGGGCTTTGGGGCCTATTGTAAGATTCTATTGTTATCTCTGTTTTCCTATTGTGCTATTAACCATGTCTTTATAAAGTATAGTATTATCTTCAAGATAATTATGAATAAAGGTTAAGAAACAAGATAAATTTTACCCTATACAAGCTAAGGCCAAACCTAAACTCTTTTTAAGCAATAGGCCCTGTATTTCTCTACTTTTGCAAGCACTAACCCTTTACTGGGACCCTTAAGGTTTAATTTAAGTTACTTTTTAGTTACTTTAAAGTCAGTCTAAGGTACTTCTTACTCCTTTTATCTATACATAGTCTTTGAACTATTATTACTAGATTTAGAGTTGGTTAATCACCAGCCCTGGGAGTATTTAGATAAAAAATTAACTAAAGCGCTCTGCGGGCTAGGAAGCTGATTCTAAAGGGTATAAAGCAATAAACATCTATATAGACTAGTAGAGGCAAAGCAAGAGACACTCCAGATGCAGCAAAGTATTTTCATTTATTTTATTTTGTAACATGCAAGATATGACAAACGATGCCTTAATAGATTTCCCCAGTACAGAAACTATTCTCCTATCACCTAAGTACTCCCTTCGAGCTTCAGCCAGTTCCTGATGAAAAAAAAAGCAAAACCCACGTAGATCGAAGTCCCAAGGGACATGGTCCAAGATCAGGAAATGGCGCTGCGCAACCGTCGCGCAATAACAGCAGGATACGGCGCCGTATGTAGAGCACCTCCTAACCCTCCACATCACCCTCCATGCTCGAAATAATGCCCTCCTACTCGCTATACCCCGTATCACTTTCCGAAGGGTACATCTCCTTGAGTCTCTTAGAAACCCCCAAATTAGCACCTGTGGGTTTGGCGCGGCGTTTCTTTGAGTGTGGGGTTTCAGTGGGTGTAGCGGTGCGTTTGGCGCTCGTGCTCGGGGTCGCGGGGGCAGAGAGCTCGCTGTCGGCGCCAGGGGCAGCCGCAGCCGCAGCAGTCGCGGTCGCGGTCGCGGTTGCAGCGGCAGCGCCGGCCCCGGCCTGCTTCCTGAGCTTCTGCATCTGGTTGTCGATGGACTTGGGCGTGCAGTCTGGGAAGGTGTTAGTGGAGGCTTGAGGGGGGAAGGGTGGAAATGTGGATGACGTACCGGCGCCCATGTATTCGGCCAGTCGCTTGTAGCTTAGCTTGACATTGGTTTCGCGCAGTTGTTCGAGGACGCCGAGGAAGAGCTGATGCGATCTGTTAGTTAGGTTGTCTGTTAGACGGGGAGCGTAGGTACCTTGGCGTTTGCCTCGGGGGTCCAAGTCATGGGCATTTTTAGGATGGGGTTGTATTTGTTGTGATAGGGATGGTGATTTGTGTTTTTGTGAGCTTGAGAGCGTGGTGTTGTGTTTTGGTGGGACTGAGATTGTGGGTGCGGATGCGGATGCTGTCGCTGATGAGGAGAGAGGAGGGATGGTGGTGGTGGTGGTGGAGGTGTCAGAAGCGGGAGGAAATAGAGAGAAGAGCAGTGGGAAAAGAGCAGTGAATCGAAAAAAAGCAGGCCTACGAAGAGGAGGTGGATGCCTGTGCTTTGATTGACCAGTCACAGTTGGCTGAGCCGTTTGTGCTTGGGGAATGGTATTCTCTCACTATACAGACCTGACTGCATTGAAACAGTGACTTCCTTCCTCTCACATACGTATCAATATTTCGCTTTGTAACAGCAGCAGGAATGCCAAATGGCATCGCAAAGGCCAATTCCCTGCCACAGGGCAGCCTCTGTTGTTCCAAATATCCTTGTGATATGTACATAGGACAACGGCTTAAGGGATGAGGTTAATGACGGACTTGAGGGCCGAGTGCCGTGCTAATGGATTGCTCTAAAGGGTCTACGGGTCTAGGAGCTTGAGAGGTGAAGAAATATACCCTCCAGACACGGAGCGTACTTAGTTTTTGTAGAAAGCCAGACCAAATCAAAAGGTTGCGTAAATGGATCTCGCCCACGATGTTTCCCACCCAACCACTGTCTCTTCCCAGTTCCACCAGCTCATAAATCAAAGGATATCAGACGCGTAGATCCAAGCTGAAATAACAACTCCCTCCAGACGCAGATGAAACACGCCAGTTACCGCCGCATAGACAAGTCACCCAGTAGCAGAAGCTCACGCGTCATCCTCAACCTCACCCTCCACCTCCTTCAGAATCTGCTTCTCAGCCTCGTCATCGCTGTTCTCCTCGGTATCATCCGCCGCACCCTCATTCTCAGGCTCGGATTCAGGCTCCGCCTTGACCGCAGGAGCACGCCTCTTCTTCACCGGAGAGCCAGCCTTCGAGGCCGCAGGCGCACGACGTTTCTGGGGGGTGTCTTTGGACTTCTTCGGAGTGTGTTTGGGAGTGGCGGGCGCGGAAGAGGAGGGCCCGGCACATTCCTCGGCCGCCTGCTTCTTGAGTTTGGTGAATTGGTTCTGGATGGACTTGGCGTTGCATTCTGCAGGGAAAGTCTTTGTTAGCGGATGGCTGTAGCAACTGTGGAAAGAGAAGGCAGGGATTACCAGGGCCCATGTGCTCTGCTAGAGCGTTGTAGTCAAGCTTGAAGTTCTGGGTCTTGAGCTGCCCGAGGACGCCGATGAAGAGCTGAATAGGAGGCAAGTTAGTTGGTTGTTTGCAAGCCCGAGGGCTGAGGCGATGCTGCTTACTTTGGCGTTCGCCTCCGTGTTCCAGTTCATCACCATTTTGATGAATAGTGAATGTTTTGAGTTGAGGGTAAGGTTTCTTGGTGGTTATAGTTGGAGAGACGAGGCTGGGGAAGGTGTGTTGATGCTAGAGAAGAAGATGTTGATGGTTGCTGAAGGATGATGATGGAAGATGAGAGATAGATTTGTAGAGGGATGAGTGAGAAAGTGGAGAGTGGGAAAGAAGAGAGAAGGAGCTCAGAAGGAGGTTTCTGTCAAGAGAGAGAGAGAGGTGAGCGGGGTTCTGTGTTCCTTCGTGGACCAGATGTGTATGCTGTTTTGTTTCCAACTAAGACCTTGTCATCACTTTGTCTTCTTGGGCATTTCACCCAATCACTCACGGCTCTTGTGATGAGCGCAGATCCTGATCAGTATGGTATTATGATGGCTGCTATCGTGAGAGCTTGACAAGGCGATGCAGAAGCTACCTGGGTATGATTGTATGGAGGCTGTTGATGCCTTGCTGCCTCAGGTGTCGTATTCCCCGCGGAGTGAGGATTCCCCCGATTGCCTCCAGTGGTTTTCATCTTCCCACCACCTTCATTTTCTCCCGAGGTCCAGCCATAGTAGCGAAATGCATTGCGCCCATCTCCGACTCTATACATTTCCTTGAAGGACAAGTTGAATGCTCCCAGCTCATGCCGGAGAAGGACCGAAAGACCCCCGCAGGGTCAAGATTCCGATTTTGAACGGCACCACTGCCAAAGCAAACGGTTGACTTTGCCTCTGATCAGAAATAAGGGCTCTCGCCGGAAACTTCAGCTCCGCGAGAAACCTATATTAGCTGCACACTCAATCCGTTTCTAGGTTGCTTCATCTTCCGCGTGGTGTTGCGTTGTCCGAAGACTCTACTGCCGCCGGGACTACTCCCGCGCAAGCCCACAGTTCAACGAAGGAACCGAACCCATCAACTACAATAAAACCTCTGCCCTGGCCGCCTGCCTTTCAGACCTCTCACCGGCACCACGCCCTGAGTTTGGCAGTCAAGACTACGCCGAACAAGATCCTGGTATCGCCTCGCGCTGCTGTTATCTGCCTGGTCCGCTCGACAACAGCTTGTCCGAAACCTATTCGGATTCTCCGCTCCTCGACTTCCAGGAGGTATTCTTGCTCCGGCATCTCATCGGCAACCTTGGGCCATTGGTAACAGTGTCATTGGAAGGAAGGACTGCCCAGCTGATAGAATTGGTTCGGTACGAGCAACATGGACCGTCATTTTACAATTATCGTCCCCAACAACCAGTCCTCTGGCCCGTTCTTCGCTATGCGATCTACACAGAGTGCGCCAAACACCCCATTCGACTGGCGCATTGCAAAGGAGGGCCTGGGCTTACTGCGTCCGTTGACCGAATGCCGCTGCGCAATGTCACTCCCGAGACGGCAACGACGGAGGGAATGTCGGAGTTCAAGAACAATCCTCCTCGGCGAGGTTGTGGCAAAGCGATGTCACATTGATTTGTACATTCAACGGCACCAATACCCAATGACTCCGCAAGGCATCTCCAGCGTAGGTGGTGAACCTCAACGTGTCGCAGGCTTGTTGGTGAAACATGACATGCTGATTTGAAGTCAGCGCGCATGAATTAGATACTTAGGTATCCTTGTTTGACGAAGACATTTCCATCTCAGCAATTGATCACTGTGTTTGACAGAACCTACCCCTCCACCTCAACACGACAGTGGAAGAAATCCACAAAATCAAAGATACTCCGCTTAAACCGCCCTCGGAATGTCCCATCGGATCTATTCACAGTCTGCAACCCGTATTGCTCCTCGTAACTGCCGAACTCGTTATTAACCATGATCGACCACGCCAGCGCCCCAATAACATCGACACCATCTTCATGAATGGCCTTGAACACTTCTCCGAGAAAGCCCTTGTAGTAGAGGGTTCCCTCAAGATCATACCGCTGGGCATCCTCCGAGCGCTCTCCCTCGCGAAACGGGTTGAAACCGAACTCCGTGACCATACCATTATGCCGGACGGATGAAAAGTATCCCACACGTATTTCAGTTGCTGGCGCGCGTATTGTGGTGCGAGTGCGGAGTACGCATTCCCTGCATGCCCCATCAGCCACCCGTCCTCTTGCTGTGGTGACAGGATCACGCAGAGTGGCCAGTCGGGGTTACGTGGATTTTTGGCACGCGAGTCAATCCCTTCGATAGCAGGCGCTGCGAACTGAGCAACATATGGGTCAAAGGCCCAAAAGCCCACCGTACCGTTGAAGCGGGCAATTTGCGATGCCGATAAGGGGGAAGACCTAACGTGTCTGTTTCCAGGACTGACGAGGGAATCTGCTGGCCAAGGAAAAGCGGGTTTCCCATGATGCCAAGGACAAATTCCTGGTACCGTGCTGTGGCGTGCACATGGGACTCGTTGTGGCCATCTAGCGGCACAGCGAGATTATTCGCAAACTTGAGGAGATTTGTCCTCTACCTCCTAGCTCGTCTTTGTACCAGTGGTACACGGCAGCGTGAGCTTCCTGTATGGTAATCAGATCATTCCAGTCATCGACGAGATTTAGAGTGGCGATGTTTGGCTCATTAAATGTGAACCAGTACGGCACGCGATCGGCGAAGCGAGTGATGACATGTTTGGCATAATAGAGAAAGTTCTCCGGCAGCGTCGAGAAGTCGTCCATTTGACCCAACGGAAAGTCAAAATGGTTGAGGGTGGTAATCGGAGTGATGCCATGTTCCAGGCAGGTGTTTATCACGTCGTCATAGTGGTCAAGACCCTTGGTGTTGATCGGCGAGTCCGCGGTGCCGAAGGGGACGATCCGCGTCCAAGATATGGAGATGGACAGGTATGGAACGCCTATCGCTGCCAGGCGGGCAATGCCCTCCTTGTACACGAAATAGTGCATCGCAGCGACGTTAGCGTCAGACCGGTTGTTGGCTGACTGCACGGCACCGGTCACATCCATCACCGAAGGACCCCAACCATCGTGCTGCAAGGCGCCTTCAATTTGCCAGGCGCTCGCTGATACCCCCCATACAAAGTCTGAGGGCAGCTTTCCACTGTGCTCACGGGCTACGGTATAGTACATCGGTGGCGGAAAGATCAGCTCACACGACGCCACGGGCACTGCAGCACGAGTGCTGGTGAATGGTGGAGACGACGTGTACAATAGGTTCGCCCATAACCCGGCATACGCATCGGATCCATATTCCCCGTTGCCAATTCCTCCATTCAGCTCCAAGGTGTACGCGGTATATGTTGCATTGAGAGGGAGCAGCGATGACACCTCGCTGAATGGCCGTGCAAAGGGCGTGGGGTATGCCACGGAGCTGCTTAGGGGCGTGGCATAGCGTGTTAAGATGACCTGGGTGTAGTGGAACATGGCGTCCATTAAGGATGCATGAGCATACTTCAAAAGGACGGTGGCTATGCCGATGGAGGCGAGGACAAACATCTTGGCTGCTTGTGGCCATCTCCGTCCGCACTCCATTGATTCGCACTGACCTATACCCCGCACCATACAGTGAGGCGGCGAAATCGGCTGGTGGGGGATGTATGATGTGGGGGATCAACTGCTACTCCGGAATGTGGACAGGGCTTCGAACACCATCAAGGAACGGCTACAGGAATACCGGCGAATATATCAAGCAGCCAAGGGTAAAGTCTTTGCCGAGGTGCACGCGACGCTAAGTTACGTCCAAAGTGAACCCATTCAGTTCCAGTGGGATGAAAGATCTATTCGACGCTAGGATATCGTAACTCTGACTCCCTGGGACCCTCTCTTGACCATCGGCAGGAACAAATCATAGTCATATTGAACATCAGCAACCGTTGTCTCATACAACTCCATGCGTGGAAAGACCCGCAACGCCAGCGCAGCCAGGGCGCGATACAGGTTGCAGTATGCTAGACTATACACTTGTCAAATGCGGTCACCAGAAAGGAGCCGACTCGAGCAAGAACGGTGCCAACTCACTTGATACCTAGACACTGTCTGCTTCCCCTGGAGAACGCTGTCAAGGACGCATCCATCCGCCGTCGCTGGGCCTCGTTGACACCGAGCCATCGCTCGGGGCTGAATGCATAAGGATCAGGGAATGCCTCCTCGTTATAATGGTTAATCGCATTAGACATCCCACACGGCGTGCCGCGCGGTATGGAGTACTGGAGCCTGCGGCCTTTGTATTCGCCTTGATACACCAAAGTCTCGGTGGGCGCACCGCGAGCGAGTCGCGCTCCCAGGCCGTGCGAAAGGCGCAAGCCCTCTAATACGACGGCATTGAGGTAGGGCAGTTTCTCAAGCGCAATCCATGAGAGGTTGACAGCGTCCGCGCCTTCGAGTTCCCTTTGCAGACGGTCGAGCGTTTCTCTTTGGCTCAGGAGGTAAAAGGTGACGACGGTTAGAGCCCACTGCGAGCGTCAATATTCAACAAGCATGCTGGCGATAGCTGTCGGTTCAACTTACAGACGTCGTGTCCGTACCAGCAGCGATCACGTTGAACCCTTCGCCTCCCAATCGCCAGTCCGACTTCTCTACCTCCGGCAAATTTGAAGCGAGAATAGCACCAAATATGCTTGGCTTAACATTGGACACACCTGTATTGTACTCTTTTCGAGCCTTTTGTATCCGCGCTGGCATTCGCTCATTCGCCTCGGTTAGCATCTCTCTCAGGTCAGGACTCGCCCATGTCGGAAACAGCTGGGCGACGTTCGTCAGGGCCCGCACGAAGGGAAAAGCTCGAAAAAGATGGACTGGCCCTTGACCTCCAAGCAGCGCTTTCCGGAAGTTCGGCTCCCATTCTGCTTGGCCGACAAACCCAAAGGGCTCTCCGAAACAATACTTCGAAATCACGTCGGCCGTGAAGCAGCTGTACGCTGTCTTGAGGTCGAACGGTTTGTTGTCTCTCGTGCCTTCACATCTGTCAGTACTAGCCTTTGCTCGTGAGCTTGACAAACCCACCCAGCCGGATCATCTTCTCGCATAGCGCCTCAGCCAGATCCTTGATGCCGGACTCCAGGTTCGATATCTGCGCCCGCGAGAAATATTTATTCAGTGCGGCCCGACGAATACGATGCAGGTCATGGCCGCTTGTCGCGATCGTTGACGTCGCCACTGAGCCAGAGAAGAAATTCAGGTAGTGCGGCTGTTTGTCACGCTTGCGGCCGGCGCCGGCGTAGATCTCGTCGACGAACGCAATGTCATTGAAGTGCAGTTCCTCTGGGTTGATCCGGACAACTGGACCTACAAACGCATTGGCATCAAGTATACGCCAGAAATCGAATTGCAGGATGCGCACCGTATTCTTCATGCATTCGCTTTATCCTCTGCGTGTACGTGCCCCCCAAGACCAGGTCGAACCATATTTCATATAGCCAGGTTGCAGCGGCGAGTTTAGGGCCGGGGATATGGCTGAGAGGGTGAAGTGGCGAGACATTGTACAGCATCTGAACGACATAAAATACCACCCAGGCGACGACGATCGTTGTGAGTGGACTCCATGCTGGCAACATATCCATCGCTGTCTTTGGCTCGATGAGAGCATCGCTGGGGCAGTGCGACATTTCCCTGGGCGATCAGCGATATTTAAAGTATCTGCAACCAGTCCACCCCTCCAGCTTGTCACTTGTGTGATAGACACACCGCACCTCAGACAGGGATAAGACCGGCGCCTTGTGTAACATCCCAAGCTTCCCTGGGCTTTCCTGCTATTGGACGCCTCCTACGCCGTAGACCAGGTGCGGCGTAGCCTAGAACATGATCCTTGCGTTGAAAGAAGCGTACAGCCAACCACCGCACACCATTATAAGCAACCGCAGCATCCTGGCGCTACCGTACATCGAGGCGGCTTGGGAATTGGTTTCGTTGGTCGATGAGGAGGGGTCGATCACTTGATGCAGGGGATTGTCGTACAGATTATCCATGTTCGACAGGAACAAAGAGAATCCGTGACGCCATCTGCAGCCTCAATGGGCTATGTAAGTTGGTGCTGGGACTGCTGGCAGCTGGCAAGATCTTCGTACAGGAAGCCATCCCGCTTATATTAGACTTTGGTCAAAGGCCTGTGCTGCAATGGAGCGCCTAGCGATGCTGCACTCGACTGCTAATGCATTCACCATCCCATACTCACCCTTATGACCTCACGGGCATATTAACCTCAATGGCTGGCACTTACACAGCGGTTGAGATCTTAGGGTCATCCTCAACATGATACCTGGAATGGGACTTGCCGCGACCATTCGGATATGTGTTCCCGCAGCACGGCTTGAACGGGTTTAGTTGTCACAGTTCCAGATCCGAACTTCTGCGATCGCATGTCTCTTTCTCACCTTCAAGTGCAGCAATTGGTACATACATGCCGCTCGGACAAGCTCGGGGCGAGATAGGTGTGGATGAAGCCGTATCAGCTGCGGTGCATATGCGCCAACGCTGGTCCCGCGAGGCTCCGAGTTGTTGGCGCAGGGTGGCCTGTGAAACATTGCTGTCTGGTCTATCAAAGTGCATTTGTGATAAGAACATGAGGGAGGCTAGGCAGGACTAAACGCTTACCAGCTGACTGGGCGATGCCAGGCTCTCAATGTCACCATCTGTCCCCGGCTCCCATTTTGCAAGTCCCAGGACACGATCTGCTTTGCGGTTAGTCAAACTTTTGCTTGGATCGCCGCCGTTGCATTTGACATAACTAGCACCTACGCCAATTACGCCTCGATAACAGCCTGAACAGCGAATGGCGAGCGCCAAAAATCTGCCCTGCCCTATCTAACAATGCCCTTCAATGCTTCTTGTTTCTTTCCAGCGATCCCAGCATCACCATTATGCTAATATAATATGCCGTCGCGCGCGTGTGCGTGTTGTCTCTGGTATAACATGATCATGCACCAGGAGCCTACTGTATCGTTTCTTCAACGCGCGATCCAGACACTGCGGGATCATCCTCGCTGTCTCATCAGACCAGTCATGCAAGATCGCATGGAGGTAGTACACCATCGCGCCGTGTACAGGTTGCGGCGTGAGGAAATTATGCGCCATATTATGCAGGGCGTCCGGCGCTTTCGGATCGGCGACTACATTTGGCAGGTCCTGGATGTAGCAGCGGAATGCAAGATCGGGATACTTGGATAGGAACTTGTTCGTGTCGTGCCCGAGACTACCGCCGACATCGACGAGAATCGGGCCGTCATGCTTCGCGGCGGCATGGGGGGACTGGAAAAGGGAGCGATTCCGAGCAGAAAGCTAAACCAATCAGCTTAAACGTGGTTGCTAAGACTTGCTTGATGATATGATTTGCTTCTAAGGCGCGGAGGACACGGACTGTTCATGGCATCAGCAACAGTCATGATAATGCAATGCAGGGGCGGACCGACCAAGAAGTTCAGGCGAACAACCTACCATCTCCGCGAGATACTGGACATCCTCTTTGACTCCTTGCTTATGCTACTTCTTGAATAGTTTCAAGTGCCTTACAAGCTTTATGCTGACGGCAAGAGAAGCCTGCAGCCGTTAGTTCTTGCCATAGAGCTGCGAAGTGCAGAGATATTGTGAACGTGCATGATTCAGGGCCAATCGCACCGCCGTCTCCCACGGCGTCTCGAGGCGGCTCGCGAGCGCATACGTCGCCAGAAGGGCCTTGTTCCTGTCGCCGTTATTTGCGAAATCCTCGAATTTGATGGTGCTCAGGTCGGGGATGACCTCGTCAATGGATCTTCGACACTGCGTCATTGCGCCTGTGGTCCTGGTGCTGCTTCTTTGCTTTTAGAAATTACAGGGTCCGGGAGCTCCACCTGCAGCAGCTACAGATCTTATGCGCCGTGGAGAAAGACCTGGGGGGTAAGCTATATTATCGCACCATGAAGCCACAACTTACAAGAGACCCCTGTCGCATTGGATACTTTGATTTGCTGCCATGCAGGGCTGTGACGTGTTATGCATGAGCAGAGGGTTAATGTAGGACGCTGGTAAGCAAGCATGCGCAGCCCATCGAATCACTATAGAAGTAATGTTGTCCTGCCTAAAATGGTCGCCTGAGCTCACTGAAGTTTATACAAGGAATAGACGCCCAAGACCCTGTTGACCTTGGTCACTTGGCTATTTAATGTTAGGTTGATGTCTGGGCTGGCAAGATCGCGGTTTCTGAACCCTACCATAGCATCATTTGGGAGAACCAGCTATTGGATTCGATTCGGCTGTTTATGGCAGACCATGCTGCTGAGTTAGATGGTCGCTCGCTGTTTATCCACCCCTTTCCTGTGGTAAGACATGGGCCTGCTGCTAACGTCACAGAATAAAATGTCAAAGAGGCATGTGAGGATTTTATGCTCCAGTGGGAGTGATTTGGGAAAGGCATTGACAAGGCAGATCTTCACTCCTGCCCGAAAAGTCTCTTTATTATCCCCATGGCCACCGCAGACGTCGTAAGTTCTTCTGAACAACTTCCACACAAGTTTCAAGCTGCCAGGCAAGTTGCTATTCTTACCGCAGCACTGTCCGGTCGCGCCCCAAGGCGCTAGGTTCTCTTATATGAGCAAGATCACTAACGCAGAAGACAAGCTTCCGGTCGATTTGCCAGGTAAGGCTCCGGTACCCACTGCGTATCAGATATCCGGTCTGCTCTTGTGTCAGTTAGGGCTAATTTCCACTTCCGGTGTTCCCCGAGAAGGTTGGCTTTGGGCTGAACGATGAGGATGTTAACTACTGCGGTGGGATGAAGCAGTTTCTCTAACTATCATGATCCAACGGTGTTAGGGGATGAAGGTATGTGGGCGAGGTCTAGAATGAATATTACATAGGCTAATTGGGAATCCATCAAGTGGGACAAGGTATGCTGCATAAATTCGCAGACCAGAGGTATTAGACCCTATCAGCATCAAACATCACAATTCTTCAGCCATACCTGCATCCGCCACCCGATGCCGCGAGCCAAAGTCCAAGACGTGGTACTTATACTTTCTTAGGTCTCGCCGCCGAAGATGCTCGTCCTTCCGCGCAACTTCAACAAGGACCCGGTCGTCCCGCAGAAAGTGAACGTGATGGTCAGTCCTCGCCGGGGCATACCTCGGATTCTTAGTAAACAGCCAAGGCTGGTTGATCATCTTATCGTTGACGCGGCGCCACACGGGCAGGCATTCGGCGAGGAAAAGGGCATTGTCCGCTGTCCCTGCAGGTGCATCTGTATCAGTACCCTGCAGGTCTTGGTGCACCTGTCCGAATGCATGGCGCGGGTCCGTCGTCAGCGCACCAACGCACAGGCCATTCGTGATGTTCTCCCCAGGAAGCCAAGTCAACGCGTAGCAGCCACTGAACGGATTAATGGCGAGCGACTCCGGCCGCAGGGTAGTGTTCGTCCAGCGGACAACTCGAGATCCCCCAGCTTGCAGTTGAAACTGCCCATCAGGGCCAGCGCAGAACTTGTGGATGGTAATGGCCGTGGGTGCGTCAAAGGCATGGCTCAGCAGGGCGAACTCTTCCTTTGTGTCTGAGCTCACAAGATAGCCGTGTTGTCCCTGTCCTAGATCCACCTGAACAGTCTGCTCTAACCCCCCCGTCTCGCCGTCAAAGATGAAAATGCTTCCACTGGCTTCGTTGCTGGTACCATGCGTCACTCCGGTGGAGCCGACTATCGCAAGGGCCTCGCGCCCGCCGGCGGAAACAAGTGCAGAGTAGTTGCGCGAAAGACGTTTCCGGCTCGGATTGCCGAGGACATGCCCCATTCCTTCGAACAAGTTGAGTGGTGTCGCGGTCGTGTACAGTGTCTGGCCGGTCTGGATATCCAGGGCCATCAGATATGCAGGCAAAGCTTCATCAACAACAAGGGCAAGATAATAGAGTCTGTTTTCGCCGAATAGCAATGGATAATCGCCTGGTATGCTGACGGCGTAATTGTCAAACTTGCGACGCCATAACTCCTCTCCTGTTTCTAGGGAAAGCAAGTAGTCCTGTTCTTCACCGTTGGGTTGGCGGGATGCACTCTCTGGCTGCGTTCGAATCAGGATGTGCCCGGCTGGACTAAGCGTGATGCTGCGGACTGGCGAGGTGTCGGTGACCTTTATGGGAGTACGCGGTTCCAGCTTGTTAGCTCGCCGGAGGCCCCCTTCTTCCTTGTGCGTGAGATCTTTCCAGAAGATGGTTTCATGTTCCTTCCACGCCATGAAGTTGCCTGCGACAGCAACGCAATGTGATGTGGCGCGCATGGTGCGTACAGCAGTTGGTTCTCCGGTAGTAAGCGCGGCGCAGGATTTGAAGAGCTTCACTGCTTCAGAGGGATCGCCAGTCTTCTTTGGTTGGGTTGCGGCGGGAAACCGGAGACGTAGACCGGAGACAGCCATCCAGTTGCGGAGATAGTCTTGCCAGCTCGTGCTGATTCGTTCGCATCGGACAAGGTCGGAGGCGTCGAGATACTGGAATATCATACTGACGCATTCGACCGGCAAGAGACGAAGGGGGTCGGTGCAGGCTGTGTTGGCTGGAGCGGTCGTGACAATAGACATCTCAGCCGGGGCGGGAAGGTCTCTGCTGATGTCTGTGATCTTTCTCTTGCGCGGCATTCTCGCACAGTAGAGAGCTTTGCTGTGGTAAATAGCAGTGAAAGTTGGTACGCTGCTTGGCGGAGTGTTCTGGTAGGCAAAGGGGACGAGTGGGATGAGTTGTGGAAGAGGAAGTGTGTGGGATTTACAAAGGCTGGCGAAACAGATGCTCTAGGTCAGTAGGCTATGGCGTGGGTTTTTAAGGAGTTATTTATTTAAGAAGGGAGTGAATATGGCAGTGATACGGCAGTGAATATGGCAGTGAATATGGCAGTGAATGCAGAGTTGACGCTGAATTTGTGGATCCGATGGAAGGCATATTCACCTTTGCTGGGCAATGGTATCCCAAAACACAGAATTGGCAGCCCTAATGGGCTTCAAAGACTGCTACCCATTGAGCATTTACTGTAGTGTAGTTCGCCTTTTACTCTTGGTATACTTATGGCATAGCAAGATCAACATTTCCCCGCTCAGAGGCCATCTGTCATTCTTACATGTAACTGCCAGGGCTTGCTTTGTTTCCCTCCCATATCTCATACAAGTCAAGACAGAGCTATTGATTCTTTCTACTGTTAACCGTTTTGTCTGCGCCATTGCAAACCAGGGACTAAAGGGAGTAGAAGGAGCTGTGATAGTACACAAGGCAAGCCATCCAAGTGAATTGTAGAGTCAGTGCTTAAGCATTTGCAATTCTGCTGTTTGGGGCTACTAAGGATAGCTAATCTAAACTAAGACATGAAAGTGATTGAGGGGAGGGTATGGACGGTCCTCTAGGCGATGTCCCTCCTTCTTACAGCATCTGGAAGCGAGTGGTGGCATGGTAAGGTTTGCATTTTAACTCGACACATGCTAGATATACCATGCCGTGTCCTCACATTTCATAACATGGGTATCGACCGATGAGCACGTCAGCTATTATCGCCATCAAGACTGCCTGCCGGGCCCGCTCAGCGATGCACGATGTCTCGAACCGAAGTCAAAAACATAGTGTTCGTACTGGCCCGCGGAACCTGTCCATCCCAGATAGATAACGAGCCTGTTTGGTCCTACGAACTTCATTGGACATGAGTTAGACCACCTCTCTCGGCCTGAAGACCAGGGGGGGAGTTTTCGCTGGATGAAAGCCCCTTCCTTGCTACGACAGAATATCGGATTATGGGGAACGGGAAATAGAGTGGGTGTTGGGACTATAGAAAGACCTTCAAGGGCATCTGCCAGCGCCTCATCAGCGGGGGACGACGCAAGAGTCCCGATCCGAAGCCCAAGCAAGACATCAGGTCCGAGAGCGCCAATTGATGAGTAGAGATGTTGGAAGGGGTCAATGGCGATGGCGTTCACCGGGCCGTCCCAGGCAAGTATGTTGGAACGTTGGAGGTTGAATTTGCCATTGGGGCCTGCCGTGTATACGTTGATCTTCAACGGTTTCCGCTCGGAGACAGGGTGGCTTATGATGGCGAACGCCCCTGGGACGTTGGATGTCACAATGTATGCATCGCTGTCCCTTTCGCTGTCCCGGTTCACGTCCATGTCCATGTGCATGTCGATTTCCTGCGTTCTGCGTCCAGTTTCGCCGTCGAAGACCAAAATGCCGCTGCTCGGTGGACAGTATCGAGGTGACCACGGGTCAGCGCAGCCTTTGAACCCAATTGCAATGAGCGCTTCCCGGCCACCGACCTCCACCACGGCTGTGTAGTCTCGGAACCAGGCGAGCCTTGGGGACCGCCAGAAGCACACGTGCTGCCTCAGTAGATGCCCGGTATGATCTAGTTGAGTTCTGTACAGGCGGTTGCCGGATTGAGTGTCAATGGCCATGAGATACTCAGTGTAGGCCTGTCCGACCTTCTGGATGGAGACGTAGTACAGCCTATCCGAACCAAAAGCCAGTGGACACTCCTTGAACCCATGATCTTCCCATGGGTGGCTGATGTCGCTTCGCCGCCTCCATAACTCGGCGCCCGTTTTCAGAACAAGGAGATAGTCCGTGGCGATGGATGGCCTAAACCAGCAACGCTCACTCTGCGTTCTGATCAGGATATAGCCGTCTGCACTTATTATCAACTTTAGGAAGTTGTCATCTCTAACCTCTAAATCACTCTGCGGCTTGAACCGCCGGGCTCGTCGCACTGAACCATCCTCCTTATGTGTTAGGTCCTTCCAGTAGATGTGTATCTTGGATCGCCAGGCAATTAGAGGGTTTGAGATCGCAACTGCTCCCTGGTTATACAGTGCACGAATATGGTGAACAGCAACTGGCCTCCCAGAGAGTATTGCTGCGGAGTTGTTGAAATATTGCACTTTGGTCATATTCCCGGGGATTTTAGGAGGAGCAAGCGCGGTGGGAAAGTGCAAACGGAGCCCGGTATTCTCTATCCACGTGTGGACTAGACTATTCCATTTTCTGCTGAGAATTTGGCATCGAACAATATCTGGGACATCCAGATATCGGAAAATGATGGCAACACAGTCGTAAGGGAGGCAGTGGACTGGGTCGATACGCGTGTTCGCTGGAGGCAGCATGGTAGGGCGTTTCTGCGCCGGAGCAGTTGACCCTTCGGAAGTTGGTGAGCCTTTCCTTTTCAGCGACATTCTGGTGGTTTGGTCGGAAGGCCTCTGGGTAATCAGCTCGATCTGTGGCTTGCTTTCTCGCGATGGGGGGGTAAGTCTTGGGATATGAATACGTGGGGAGGTTCTTGCTTGCCTTGCCTAAACCTAGAAAACAAAGATGAAGGCTCTTTTGGAAAACGGTAAGAGGCGATGCACAGGCAGACTGATGTACATCTGACAGCGGATGTCCGACTCTCTCTCAGAAACCTTCATCAGCCAACAGACTTCTTTGTACTCCCAATCGCGGTGCGCTTCCACCACATTCTATCAATTGACTGCTATCTAATGCGCTGGTTTTGCAGACATCGAAGGAACCCGCCAATCCCATTTTCCTGCCATGATACCATTGCCATCTAACACGCCCCCTTGTAAGTAAAGCCCTAGACACAGCCCACCTCTCCTAAACCAAATACCCCCTCTCCTTATTAATACAAATAAACTCCCCATCGGCCTCATGGAGATTCTGACAATTGAGCCCAGGATTCCACTCACTAAGCTCCTCCTCACTCATCCCCCCAACGCCCTCCTGCAGCATCGTCTCGCACGACATCAGCGGGCTCAGCTCCATCCACTTCATGCACGGACTCACGCTCTCGAGCCGCGGGTGGAACTCGCTTGTCGCAACGCAGTAGTAGTATCCCGCCCAGATGCCGCTGCAGGAGTCGTACCCCCCGACCGCTGGGTTCCAGTCTGCGAACAAAGTCTCGTTGTGGTTGAGGTATGTGAAGGCGTTGGCGTGCACGATCGAGAAGCACGTGTCGCCGGGTTGTGCAAGGTAGTAGGTTATGCAATCTGGGGATATGCCGGCTTGCGTTGGGGAGGGGGGTGGGGTTGTGCCTGTTGCGGTGACGATGGAGGCTGGGCTGGTCGTTGTTGTTGGGGGTGTGCTTGTGGCGGAGGCGGATGCTGGGGCGTTTTAGCTCATACTTGCGTGTCGGTGAAAGGAATTAGGGTACTTACTGGATGATCCGACGCACACGTAGTAGCCCAGCCAGAGCCCGCTGCAGGATGTGCCGACGGCTGGGTTCCAGCTGTAGAACGCGTCCAGGGTGATTCCGTTGCTGACTGCGAGGGCTGAGCAGGTGTCGCCGCTGACGACTTCATGGTACTTCGTGCCTGCGACCAATCAGTATCAAGGCTATGAAGCAGTTAAGACACTCGGCGCAGCCAAGCAACTAGGGCACATACAGTCCTTGGAAATCCCATCCTGCACCGGCGACGGAACAGCGGTAGTGGTCGCCGAAGGCAGGGTGGTGGTTGCAGAGCCTGATCCCGATACGCCAACGCAGACGTAATAGTCCGCCATGAGGCCCAGGCATGTGTCCTGAACAGCCCTGCACAGCCAAGAAGTTAGGACTAACTCCCAGGAATTGTGTCAGAAAGCGCGGCACGTACGGGTTCCAGTCATAGAACTGGGTCAATGGGATACCGGCCGCCTCGGCGATTGCATAGCAGCCATCGCCGGATTGCACTTTGTAGAAGTTGGTGCAGGAGGAGACTAGGCCTGGCTGCGTTGGGGCCGGTGCGGCGGTTGCTGTCGTTGTAACGCTGGCGCTGGTGATGGTTATAGAGGCTGCGCGGGGGAGGAGTGCGGCGTGGCCGGCGCCAGCCAACATGCCGCTGGCAAGGAGGGGATAGAGGAACATGGTCGAGGGAATGGATCAAAGGGTCTCTGGACGGCTCTCAATAAGCAAAAATACAGACAGCGACTTGGGCTATTTATGTGCCGCGTGAGCTCTAGCAATTATTGCAATCTCGCTTATTGTGTAGACCCATGCTAGTAAGGCTCGCAATCTCCTTCTCTACACACTAAGCCTCGAACTAGCTTTAGGTCCTACTGTTAGGGCGAGAGCGCATGCTATGGTAGGTGGCGTCGGCTAATAGTAGACCCACCAAGGGCCCTGCGATAGAGCCCGAGGCACGAGGGATTCTCGAGCCTTCTGAGCCTTAGCAAATGTTCTTAGGTATGCTAGGAGCGGCCGTCACTGGTAGTTCATACAGTTCATTTCCCAATCTTTGGGAGAAGAACCGAGATTGACAAATGACAATGTCCTTGTGAACCGCGGTCCATGCCGACTTGCTTCTCCATATGAGACTTAGCTTCATGGAAAGTTCAACCTCAGCGTCCTTGGCGAATCTATTAGTTCAGCTAGGGCACGGCTTCGCTTACCTAGTGCAATCTGGGCCCTCAGGGAGTCCCGCCCTTGCAGCTGGAGCTCCGAGATCGCTCGTCCATCTCCCGAGCGTTCCGCACCAGCAACGAACGCCTCTCAAACCCTGCTCGATGAAATTTGAGGCACTCTGCAAAAGCTTTTGTTTGTGGCAACGCAATCTACAAAATCATCTGTATGCTATAGTTCTTCTTTTGACCATAAGATGGCTGCTAGGTTCCAAGTTTTACCGTGGAAGTGGCCCGAATAGGGTTAGCTTGGCCCTACCTAGCGATCCGCTCCCTGCGGGCCGGTGGGGCCGGGCCGGAACCAGATCACGAACCACGAACTGCTTGACCATGTCA